CATTCCGGGTCCGAACGGGCTGGTCGGCGGCAGACAGCTGTCCCTCCACGCTGGGCTGCGGTCGAGGCTCTCCTCCCGCTCTGGTCAATGGCTTCTAACGGGCTGGCACGTCTCACGCGCAGCTCGGACCGAGGGACCCCACCTCCGGGCCATTCGTCTTTTCCCACGTGTTTCCGTCTCCTGTCACTCGGTCCGGACGATCTCTCTTCTCTTTTGTTCTCTAATGGCATCGCGGAGGGAATGACGATCGAGCGGAGTCGACTGGTATCTTGAAGCGTAACGGTCGGTGCACGAGGTCAGTGGGGAGACTGCGTTATCAATCGACGATCGATCGAACACGATCGTACAAGGTTGATAGATACGATGCCCCATGATCCCGCCGATTGCCTAAATTGCTACCGTTGGCCATACGATCCTGCCACCTTTGAATTCTGTACACGTGCTGGACGAACACGAGATGATTCATTCGCATTTCAACGAATCTCATGAATAAACCCTATTTGAAAACAAAGAAAATATTCCTTGCTCATTCACAACAATGGAAATCATTCCGAGGTCGCACATCGTCCCTTGTTTTTAGTCGATCCAAAAATACACCTCATAGCAGTATGTGAGCCTCGATGGAACTCCAAAACCTTCGTTACGAAACGGAGTAGGAATCATCTGACCTCACGTAACCCCCCCCTGTCCCTTGTCTTTAGTCGATCCATAAATACACCACATAGCAGTATATGAGCCTCGATGGAACTCCAAAACCTTCGGTACCAAACGGAGAAGGAATCGTTTGACCTCACGTAACCCCCCCTCCCTATTTTGTGTATGGAACCGGAAATGTTAGGAGAAGCGTGACGATATTAGTCGGATCGATATAAGAGCAAAACGGGAAGAAATGAAACCTTCATCGAGGCGAGGGTTCACTTGAACGAGCGAAAAAGTTTGACTCATTCCACCTACTTATGCGCTATACGCGAGGCACTACATGTACTTTAGGTAAAAAAAAAAAAAGGAAAATTCCGAGTAAAGCAAAGGTAACCAAGTTGCCATCTAAAGTGCGGGAAAGTGAATCCCGGCTTGATAGCGAAAACGATGTTTCCCGTTTCCTCATGTGGTCATACCGTTCGAAGAAAACCCCTAGAATCGCTCTGTGCGAGAAAAGTCCTCGAAGAATCTTTTCTATTGATGACGTCCTGCTTCCTTCTGAAGACACCGTTCCTTCAAGCAGCTTTTAAGACGCCTGTCACGTCGTTCTTTACCATGAAATAGTTTATGATTCACTTTTGCCCCCCCTCCCCCCCTTCGCCTGACAGTCGCAGTTGAGCGAATCAAACGAGTTCTGTGATTTATCGCTCGGTTCTTTCGGTGCGGGTTGACCAGCACCCTGACGATTCGTCGGGGGCAGGAAGTGCGTTTTAAGTTTTTATTTTTATTTTTACGAAGTCATCGTGCTTGTTTTCTCCGTGTCCGGCTGAGCGATTAGCATGAAATGAATTTGGATTTGGAAATGAAACCTCGGATTTCCGTTGTATCAAGGGATCATAGAGGAATTTCGGGGGTCGGTCGGAGTTACTTTCGCAAGATGCGGATGCGGAAATTTTCGTATCATCAAGAGGATACCATGGTAAATTCCTCAAAAATGTTATTTGCAACTTATGCGCGGGAAAGAGCCATTTCATAATTGTACGCTTTGAATTTTCCGGAAATTATCGGATGCAGGTCTTCCTGCGCTAATAAGCGTGGATGCTCTGTACATACACGTGTGTTGCAGGCTGAAAGGTGTCGAAAAGATGAGAAATCGGGTCCGTTCTGCCTTTTGCCTCTGGTGGGAGATTTCCCTCTCTGCCATGGTCGAACAGTGAGTGCTTCATCCTCCTTCTGGTGGCATTGGTGCGACTTGAGCTGCCCGGATACACTTGCATCGTTTGTTTTGGGGTGGACTCACAGCCACACTCGAAACGTGCCTCATTTTGCCCCTACTCACGTTACTCGAATTCATGGGCATAACTTATTTGGCATATGGTTTAAGATGTCTCATTGCAGTGATTAGAACCAAGATAATTACGGAAGCTACTCATTAGTGGTTGGACAAGAAGGGCACCGCACGCTAGTGTCCAGATTTCAACAGTTACCTGCTGCAACTGCTCACAATGAAGATTTTACACTGCGGTAGGGCCTTTCCCTGGAATTAGTCCATGACCCCCGTTGACGAACATGAGCACAGCGGGACACGGTGGGTTGCCCAACGGTGTTCAGTCCACACTCGGGGCCTGGTAAGATTTTACGGGTCCTTGCACTCAGTGCTGGAATAATTAACAGTACTTAATTTGAAAAAACTGTTCCTTCTCGTTAAACAAGGAGGAAACTACTCCGTGTGGTCACCTCAAGAAACGACCAGCTAGCTGGGCAGCTGTGCGACATATTTACCGATTTCCCACGTAGGCATAGAAGTAGTAGAATTATCATGACGGGAACGGGCGGAGTTTCCAGATTCAGGATGGTTATATGGCAGCGAATGGCCCCATAGGCTGCGGGAGGGGCATTTGGAGCATCAGTTTACCAGAGGCACGCCGTTTTTACCCTGATAAGAAAATTGGTAGGTAGAGCGCAATTAAATTTTATTTACATTGAAAACCGCCTAAGTTCATATTGAATTATTTTCGTGAAAAAATGGCAGATATTGGCTCGAGTTTCATTTCTTCAGAGCAGATTTCAAAGTTACATATATTGATCCTGCTGAGTTTTGGATCTTTAAGGCAGCCCATCAGTTAATTCATCTGAACATCATCTGTCCCTTCGAAGTAGTGCAGTTTCTTATCCTCGGGGATCACACACTCTTGCAGCACCTTCCACTCACCTGCGACAAAAGCGTCGTCGAAATTCTCCAGAGCCGATGCTTTCGAGATAGGCAAGACGTCTCCCGCACTCAAACGTTTCGACCGATTCTCTTGGCTCAGGATACATCTCACCACCTAATTGTTCGGGATAGATCCACTCTTGAGGCAATGGACAAGGACCCTGTGAAAGCTGCCAAAGCAATAGAGACTCGGTTTGGATTCCCTCGATCCAATCTCTTCAGGAGCTCTTGTGCCTCATCGCAATTTAAAAATATTTTCACCTCGGTTCTTCATATCCTCGTGCCCGATGGCTCACACTCACTGTGTTACTTGGATCGCGTCTCCTTCGACAAAACGACAAGAGCTGACGGGATCAGGTGATCCTTATGACACCGTAGAGGTGGTCGAAGCAAGAGGTTTCAAGGTCTCAACTTGGAATATCTTGCAATTACCAGGAGCACCAGTGCTATCTTGACTTTTTTTTTATTACCATAATTGGCAAATGGAACACGAGTTGTCTAACTCTGTAATACCTTCAAAAGTAGGTCTAGCAACCGAAATAGGTGATTCTATATACCCAAGTGTCTGTGCATGATTGTCTAAGAATCCAATCCTCAGAGAAACGAAGTTTTAATGCTCATAATGACTGAGCTTGATACTCTACTGAACAGAAAGGATTCCTTCCCATACTCACCATGTCCTCCGAATAATTTTGAAGAGAAAAAGAAGCGTACAGAGACACCACCCATGCCCATAGTTTTAAACGACCAAATTACAAAAGTTAAATATTATGCCGAGACCATGGCTAATGCAACACTCCAGATAATTCTGGAACACAATAAATTGAGACAAATGAGAAGACCTACACCTGGTTTCATTGCTTTAAATGCACATCAGGAAATAAGGAAATGGGAATTGAAGCAATATGGGATCATAACAAACATTCCATCAAAAGAAACAAAACCTTCACAAATCATCCACTGAAGAGAGTTCTTTGAAAATGATGCAATAGAGAACTTGTTGGGACAGACTTTCACAGAAAATATAACAATAATATAATAAACTCTTTGAAAACATAATAATCTCACTGAGTATGGATATTAAAAACTTCTCAAACAACCATACAGAAGCAAGGTTTGCATTAAAAATGTCTACCTGGTGCACCAATTGCATGGCACTGGATGAAAAAACGAAGGGGGGTGAGTATCAAACACCCTCTAAACTTTTCACTTACAGCAATTAGATCTATGATCAGAGCCTGAAGTGAGAAAATGTGATGGCCACTATGAAATGTCAATGGCACAATACAAAGATCTCCCAGATAATGGAAGAGATTCGGAAATCAAAAGGAAAAAAAGGCACTTAAATATGACAGATGCATGGAGAGCATGAGGAGGCAAAAAAAAGGCTTTGGATGCATGCAAGCATGCATCGAAAGCTTCGCCATCGCTCACATCTGCAGCAAGCAAGCTGTTCAATACGCACCATGTGAAGGGAAGTTGGTAAAAGAATACTTATGCAATAGAAGCCTTTGCATCCTTTTAGGTTTCCTTAGGATCAATATGCAAATTCTCTGAGAAAACTCAGAATTTAGAATAGCAAAATGAATTTCTCTCACTTGAGATCACTTTCAGGCAGGATACAAAATCCCTTCTGCCATCAATTTGGTCAAAAGAACCAGAGATCAAAAACAGAAATGCTGGATGTTCAATTCACAATGGAAGAATAAAATCCTTGCAGGAAATATTGGGTGTATCATACATTCAGAGTACACAGAGATAGGAAGAACTGCAGTCCAAAATCCTGTATGTAAGTAGAGAAGCAAATAAGCTATGATGCCCACCAGTACACTTCTGATCCAGATAATGTGACTTGAAACATTATCAGATCATTCTTTCAGTAACAGTCTGCTGTAAAAGGCACTGCCTCACTGGTCCAAGTCTCTGCAGATCACAACTAACATGAATCATTGACAGTAAAGAGGAACTATAGAATAGGCATAATGCTCTTTACAGGTAATAGATTAATTCAGGGGATGGATATACTGTACAGTATTACATGCACAGGGAGTTATAAAATGACTTGAATCCTACATTGCAGACAGAATAAACATGGCAGAACATAATTTTCATTATAAATTATTTACTTCTTAGAAGAGGAAATGATCATATTGCCAGACATTTTTTTTTTTCACTCCACCATTTGGCAGCCTAAATATGATTCAGTAAGGATTTCAAGAGGACTTAAAAAGCCATTTGCTGAAGGTTGCCCATGCCAGAACTAGGAATAGGTGACTTGCAAGAACAGGTATGGAAATCCAATGCTGCCTCTCCTCAATATGATCTTTCATAATGGAACTGATACCTTCAACTACATTCAAATCTGGGGAGTTGGCTGGCTACTCTATGCTAGCCAGAGAAACTTTTGAGTAGCAAGTATTTTATGGCAGAGTGCAGTGTCATGAATGAAGGCAACTTCATGCACATCAAGATATTCAGGCTCTTGTCCAGGCAGGTGGAAATAATACCAATACAGATATGTCAATTGTTTCTGCTAAGACTGAGTAATTATTACACATGAAAACCAAGATCCTGGCACCTTTATTTTGTCATCAATGTAGGGGTCAAATCATTTTGTTACACCCTGAATATCAACTGGCTTTTCACCTCCTTCCCTCAATCACTACCTGGATAGAAATCCAAATTTTCTACTAAACCAACCGGCAGCATTTATGGAAGACAAGAGATTGACGTCACAATTACCTATGTGATGTAAAAAATTCATGGCCAAAGTCTGTAGCTGCACAATATAAGTATTACTCAAGAGAAAATGATGAACTGTATACTACTTATTGCCTCTAATAATCTCATTTGAGCAACAGCACAAACACTTCCTCCACCTTCTTTTGATTTGACTGAATGAAGAGTAAAAAAGCAAGTATCAAATGGATGACCAATCCTGCACCAGACATGAAAGGATTCATGTAAGGCAATGCCATGGTATCAGGTATCAAAGAAAATGCAGGCCACTTCTTTTCAGTGAGCTAGCTCTCCAATCGCCTGGACACCCTCACAGCCTCAGATATGATCACAGCTATATCCATTGGGGGATAGTTCTGTGGAATGAGACATAAGTTGCATCATAAGCATGAACCTAGGCACATTATAGAAAAATCATTTGGAACAGATAGTCTCACCTGTAGAAGTTTCATGTTGGATGGGAAGTCTCCAATGAGTAATTTATCCCGAACAAGTCTGGAAAGAAGCAGAACATTTGGTCTCCTGGAGTGAGCTTCACAATCTAAATTTATGCTACTCATGAGGGCATTCTCAAAAGTTGTAGTTTAAGGACACAAACTTACAAGAGCATGGCGAGGCACATGTGCATCAGGAAGTCAAAGCGCTTTTCGTCAGCAAACAGAGAGTCCCATGTTCGAATCACATCCGGGAGAGGGAACTCTTGAGACAGGAGGAGAGTGAACCATCTAAAACAGTCAAACAATATAGGGTAATGGCAGCACCTAACATGTTTCAAATTCAGAGGCAAAAAGGTCCTTCCACACCTGAAGCAATAATACTGTGGCCGGATTTCCTGTTTATTCAGCTTCTCCCAAAGGGTTCTATCAAGTGACTCCAGAGTTCTCTCTATTTTACTCATCAGTCCATGGATCCCAGATGCAGAGTCATCAAGGGTCTTGATGAAGAAGTCACGAATCTCAGCCATCAAGTTCGTGAAACAAAAGAAGCTGTCTGACTCTGCATGCTCTGTTCAGTAAGAAATACATTTCAGTAAGAACTTGCCACATGGAGGAACTGGAAAATGATACTGAGAAAAGTCCCAACAGCATTCAAATTTAACTATTTGATTCAGGTACATGTAAAAATTCCACTAATCCTACTGTTTGAAAGGGTTTTAAGAATCTTAAAATGCTTCCAATACCTCTCCAGTCTCTGTCAGGATCTGAAGCAAGTGTGTAATAGATGGGACCCATGATTTCATTCATGCCTTGGACATAACCTTGCCCTGGATTCAATTTTGCATACAGAAACAAGATCCGTTCCACCACCTGGAAGAAAATGCTATCAATACTAAGGTATCACTACTCATTGTCATTAGAACACCAAAATTACATACCAGCACCATATAGAAGGCAATATCACAATTGTACAGTAAGAAAGAAGTCAACTAACCTCCCAATGTGCTTCTTTTCCTTCCTCTAAAGGGCTGTAGTCTTCTGATGCCCTCTTCATAGCCATTGTTATCTAAGGAGAGAGTCCTAGATTGTCAAGGGCAATATTAGCAATATATATACAACTGAAAAGAGAGAATATTGGCCTGGGATCATCCAAGGAATACATATCTAAATTTATTGTATAGCCTGATGGTTCGTAAAAGAAAACAGGCTTTCAGTTGAGATAACAAAAAATCATATCAAATTTCTCTGCCTTTTACCAACATTTGAAGAAAGCAACAATAGCAGCACTCTAAAAGGAATAAGTTACCTTTGTCACTCCAAGACCTTTGCGAGTGACAGGAGCAGAATTCAATGCTTTTGTTTGCACCCTCTGGTGGAGCCTCTCAGTTCCTGATCTGGCAACATTGCCATTCCATGGGAATTCAGTGGCTCTTTGAAAGAATGAAATGTCAGGACACAGTCTCCTACAAGAACAAGACATCATAAACTGCCATGAAGGCGTTGTTACTTTTTCACTGTTGGATAGCAGCAATTAGTTCCGCTAACCTGACATCTTTATCTATCTGTAGGAGGACTTCATTGTCACGGAAGAAGGTCTGCCATTGGCTGTCAGGGTTTGGATTTAGGGGATGATCAGCCTGGTTTAGATCCTTCTCAGCATCTCCATTGGTCTTAAGATGCCATGGAGTCAGTATCATCTCCTCTAATTGAAAATATAATCCAAGCCAACATTGCAAGACCCTTAGAAATATGGGATTTAATCATTATATGCAAAACAGACAAGAAATATGTACCAAGGAGCATTGAGTATAGCTTTCTCTGTTCTGAGAGGGTTTTGGGCCAATCCTTTGTATCTGGAGGAAGGTAATTGAGCAGGAGACGCCAACACATCGGTCGCTTACCACCATCATCAGGGATTCCTTCCAACAAAAAAGTCCCAATAACAATACAACTAGACACAATTTACAAATAAGGCCATAGAGAATGACAATGCTTCTGGTAAAAATGTATGCCCTCATAAATCGCATTCACTTACCATTGAAACAGAATTTTCTTAGTGCTGCTAAGTCTATGACATCATTTTTGAGGATAGCCTCCAGCTCCTGAACCCTGAAATATATATGGAAACTCAATGGAAATCATATCCTCAAGTAAGAGTCATACCAGAAGACAAAAAGACTATGAGCCAAGCATAGCCCAGGCTATAGCTAACATGGAAATTAGCTCAAAGCCAGAAACATACCTTGCCTTGTAGGATGCCATGTATTTTTCTCATGACTGACCAAGGATGACAGAATATTGGGTCATGTCTGTAGGTTTTATAACATGCCTGGTAGCTCTGAAGATATGTGTCTATAGTTCAAATTTTGATTGGAACCAATGCAATCCTTAACACAACAGCATGAATGTAATGCAGAAATACACATCAAAATAATGCAAATCAGATTTTAGAATAGAAAAAATCAATGCAGGCCTAGAACTAATGAAATGCATCAACTCATTGCCTGAATATACCATAAAAGCTCAAGTAAGAAGTGTTTCATAGGCAAGGTTGGCAAGGTAGGCAAGGTCCCACCTTGTGGATGCCAAAAGCAGCCAAACAGACCAAACTTTTAGGAAAGGGTTCGGAGGGAAAAATATTCGAAATTTCATTTTTAATCAAAGACCAAAGGAAACAGGTATCACAGCCACATGAGACTTGAATGATGTCATATGCATATGCATGGATAACAGGTCCAATCATGCCATCTCAAAGTCATCTCTCTGCAAGAAATAAATATTTTAAAAATCATTAGAAGGGATTCACAACCAGGATTGATATTTAAACCAAGAAAATGCCAAATTTGTGACTAAACATGGGGTAAAACAGCAAAATTTGAAAACTTGGAAGTTTGACTGCTCAACTAGACCTTAATCTCTGTGCATTTGACTCAACCTTTAGGTACTTGAATTTTGACATTTAGCCCCAACATATTAATGCAATTCAGATTTAAGAAAGTAGAAATAGTAAACAGTAGGCCTTAACTATTTTCTAAGCAAGTCTTCAAGAGGAAACAAAGCCATGACAAATCATTTTCAGTATCTTTTTTTTTGCTATTTTTCTCATAATAATAATAAAATTTCTGATGAAAAATATTAAATGAAATTTTATCAGATCCCTTCAAGACATTCCCTACCTTCTGGAAAATTGAAGCTCTTCCAAGACATTCCCCCCCCCCCCCCACCCAAATTTGAAACATGGTTTATGGATGACTGGGAAGTGAAGATGATGAGGTGAGAAAGGAAGGCCAAAAGGGTAGGGTGACCAGATTTTTTAAAAGGAAAATCAGGGACATTTTCAATAAAAGTGCTGCAATGGGAAGAAAACAGGGCACCAGGATGGAAAGGAAAATTTTAAATAAGGACATAGTCTGAATAACCAGAATGGCTGGTTACCCCACAAAACATCATGAAAGGGACATCAAGTTTGGCAAATGCAGCATTTAGACTCATGCAAGATTTTAAAAAAATTGAGACCATAACCTCACCAGGTCATTGTACTCCATAACATGCTTCCTGATGGCTGAAGTGTCAACCCATGTGACAAAGTCTTCCATGTTCCTAAAAAAAGACAAACAAGATGGACGAATCTTGACATACAGAGTTACATTCAAATCTTTGTTTATTCCTGAACAATAAGAATGAAAGAGAACCATCATTGAAGTTAGCAAGACTATGATTAGGCAACTAAGAAAATGAGACTAAAAAGGCCCAATGACTTAGTGGCCCCTACCTGGTGACAAGGAAAGCTGGATCCTTGATCATCTCTGTCCCAACACGAACATGGCCTTGCTCAATAAACTGCGTAGCCATGCGAATTGTTTGGGCCATTCGCAGTCTCACCATGACAACAGGAAGGCGACGTCTGCAGAAACTTGATGCCGTTACATTATCACAAAGACCAAGGTTCCATTTGGTTGGAATTAGTCCCATACTATACCTGCACACAAAAAAAAAATTTTTTGCAATGTGGGCCTATTTAATCTCTCTGTTTAACAAATGGAAAAGATGTAAGTGACTACAATTCCCTCAGATACCATATGAAAACCAATAACCTTACCTCTTTTTTCCTCTGAGAATTCAATTTCCAAAACCTAATAGGCCCTGATTCATGGTTTTCCATTTATTTCAATAGAAATAAGTGAGGCATCACCAGGATGACCTCACATATATGATATACCCTATGATGTGAAAATAATTTCAAGCTAAACCTAAATGTACTGCAAGCGAAAGGAAAGAAGTGCATGGATCATTAGGACCAACATATGATAGATCTAGGCCTACCCAGTTAATGAAAGCCAATGTTTAAGTTACAGCATTTTTCTCTTGACTTAGACTCTCATGCTTGGGAAGTTCCTCTTGCACAAGTGAACTGCAATGAAAATCACTGTGGAACCATAGGCTGACTCACAATTTCTCCAATAGCTGAGCCCCAGATTCAATGCGAAATGGGTCTTTTGGATCCAAATCCTTGATCTTGCGTGCCAGGTCACGTGCTTCTCTTGAAAGCTTGTTGTACCTGTGCAAGAATAGGATACTGTCATTGGTTCTACATTTTTATTGCACTAAATATTTTTCCAAATGCTTTTCAGCTATGCTTCCTTCAATTTTATTGCATTTACATGTCTTTAATCACATAATAAAACTCATGCAACCACTCTAAAAATCTAAAAATCTACCAACTCAATTTTGAAAGGATGAGAAGAGAATACAAAAGGTCAATCCAAATTCACAGTAGAGATTAAACATCAAACATGTGTATGGGTGCAGCATATGTGCTACAGTAAGTTCAGGCTGGGCCTGAAAAAAATATACTTACTTGGTGTAATCTTCCCGTTTCTGAATGTGGTATCTTCTCATCACCTTCACTTCATGTAGGTTATTGTCAACTTCCCATGAAATAAAATCAACCTTCTTCAGAAGTTTTTGTTCATGATATTTCAACTTCCTCATTGTCACCAATCAGCCTCGTTTCACTGAAATGCATGCAACTTCGACTAGGGGGAAATAACCCATAAGTCCATAATCAAATGTCAAGGACAAATTATTGCAGGAACTTAGGCCTAATGGTTGCACTTTGCATTGTGGGGTTCCAATAGCATTGGAACTTCAACCTTTGCGGTCCATTGCGGGGCTCCCCCGGCATGCGATCTACTCTGATGGGTCCTATGACGGCTTTGCCTGGAGGTGAAAGACCTCTTATTACCAGGCCTATTTAGGTTTTAGCTATACACACAGTAGGCCAGCCGCGGAATCTTAGTCTATACTAGCGGCATGCCAGCAGACATGTGCTTCTCTCCCCTGACCTTGCGCATGTGCAGTAAAAATATGGTGCAACGCACCACCTCCCACAGGATTACTCGCCTGTGCTTTGCTTTTCAAATTCAGCTTTATCCAGGTTGATCGTGATAAGGCACTTTCAAGGTTCGTTTGCGTTCCTTTCTTTTCCGTTCCATGTTCCGAAGTGAACATATATTTCATGATGCCTAACGGAAAACTACCGCATAAAAAGACCTTTCATAAGGCACGTTCACATAATTTGACTATTCATTGCAGGCGTGTTTAAATTTTTTTTTTTTTTTTAGAACGGAAAACGAGTATAGGCATCACATATTTTGGACTTAGCATTCTGGGTACGTTTCAGTCAGATGCTCAGAAGGTTCAACTCAATGCATTGTTTTCGGTATCCAAGGTCTGTATTCCAACATTTGTCCTTACGCTTCATCGTGAAGAAGACAGAAAAGGGAAGTTTTGCGAATGAGATCGAGGAAGAAAATTGAGTTGTGGCATATACAGTAGTAGAAAGCACTCAGAATGCGCTTTTCATCAGCATTGCAACAAAAATGAAGCAGGAGTCAAACTACAAGTATTTAAACGTTTAAACGTTTCTCAGTTTACCTCAGAAGCTTTGACCCATGGAGCAGGTGGTAACAAGAACACACGAGACAGCATATTTAAGTACCGGGTATTGCACATAGACAGCCCCTCCCCCTTCCACAGTCCAAACTAGAAAATGTTTAAATATATATATTTGTAATTCTTGTTCAATTTCAGTTCTATTCAATCCCAGTTTGTTGTTTCTGATGTCGTATGATGTTGAAAAACTTATTTTTATTGATCGCATCCGTGCTATTACGTTTTGAGAAGCTTGTGATGTCAGAGCTGAATTCCTTACCTTGGGTTTCGAAAAAGATGAAACGTTCAGCTTCTGCCTGATAAAGTCCTGCTTTTCAAAGCCTTGATCACACAGCAAATGCTGAAAGACTCAGGGATTGATTTATTTGGAAATGCGGAATTGCCGGGAAACTCTCTTAATCTGAATGTGGCTGAGAACATTGGGGTTATCCTGAAAGATCGAGTTGAGGCTCTCATGGATATGGAGGGCGAGCGGCATGGATTCTCCCGAGAAGCTTTGCAAGGCAACATCACGAGAGTGCTGAAGGACATGGAAGGTGACACGGAACTCTTTCAGCGTCTCTTTTCATCTTTACCTCGCTCGTTTTCGAGCTGTCAAGACATGCAACCAAGGTTCACAGTAATTACTAGAAGTACATGTTTAGATTCGAAAATGAATGCTCTTTCTCATGATACATGAATTTTTTTCATAGCTCTTTTAGTTTAGGCTGTGGAGTTTAGGCTATCTGTGTGCAACACCCGTTACACATTCAAAAAAAAAAAAAACACTGAACGGTGGAGGTGAAACGTCTCATAGCAAACGGGACGATCCCTCTTACCTTTCCTCGATCCAGGGCTGCCCAGAGAGGGGGGGGGAGAGGGGGGCAATTGGGGCAATCTGCCTCGGGTCCCTCGTATCAAGGGGTCCCAAGGGGGGCCTCCAAAGGGCCTCAAGGAGGCCCCTAAGGGGTCTCCGGTTTAGTTTTGCCCCGAGCCCCTGGAAACCTCTGGGCGGCCCTGTCTCGATCGCCCCATCGAAGCTCCTGCAAAAGTAGTAATGTACAGTCGACGTATAACGATAACGAACCTCTATGTAACGAAGTTTCCTTATAACTAATTTTTTAGCCTGTCCATTTGAGTTCGTTGTATCGAACGTCGACTGTATTGTATTTTGAATCAAGGGGGGACTGTGAGACCTTCCAACCACAAGGAACTCGTCGTGATCGGCGCGCGGAATTCTGAACAAAGAAAGAGGAAAGGGCAATATCCACTCAAGATGCTCAGAGAGAACGCTGTTTGTTTTTTTTTGTTTTTTTTTTTTGGAATGGTGTAGTAAGAACTTGGAGTTGGTGTGTTTTCTCCGCCCTTTCGAAATGGAGTCTTTCATACAGGGAGCAGCACAATCATGCCCCACAAGACTGCAGAATTACTAAAACCCAACTTCTTCCCTGGCTGCACCATCACCGCTGAAGCGTACCAGGACACTTTAACTGGGTTCGCCACCCAAAACATGGAGGTGCGAAATCTGTTGCGTGGAGAGGTATTCTTGCAACGGGTTGAAGCGCTCCCACGCCAAGCACGTATTGGGCATTTCTGGATAAAAACTTCCCAGGAAGATGTATTGAGAGGACGCGGGCTTTGCCGTAGTCACTTTGGTCACCCGATCTGACGTCTTTTGTTTTCTTTTTTTTTGTGGAGTTTTGTGAAAGATAGTGTATGCGATGAAAGCCCGCTATCTGTTCGACCTCGTGAGTCGCATTTCTGATGTCGCGCGGGTGTTGCCACACGTGCAAAGGTGTACACTGCGACAAACTGCTGCTTTCATCCCCGCATTGACTGCCATGGAAGCCGTGTTGAGGCCAAATAAACCTCCAGTACCGTACTTTACATCGCAGACACCCATGTAACTTCCCATGGTACATAATTTTGCTCCACCCAGAGCGGGTTCATCTTTTACTTATGGGAAAGAGGCATACCCCGGGTCATTCCTGGCTGGCAGACTTAATTATTTAAGCTACGTGAATAGTTCAAGGGAAACCTGGACTTTCCACCCCACTTATGGCAGCAGTGCACGTTGATCCATGAAAATTTTAACCCAGCGTTGACATAGATATTTGTGGCGTCACCGTCTCAGAATCAACATGTTAAATTCAATTTGGCACCAACTTGTATCCGCGTGACAGAGGGACCGCGCGTTATCGTGCTGTATGTAACGAAGGAAGACATGAATCCTACTGGAATTCAAGGTAGACTTGCAGATAAGCATGGTGAATTATCCTTATCACTGTAAAGTGCAAAGGACTGGTGTTTATGTTTTCATATGGGGAGGTGGCATACAGGCGGTGTTGAGTAGTCCTTGCGCGCCCCCTTCTGCGACAACCTAACTGAACATCACTCGTGTGAATGAATGAATCGCGGCGGTTCGTAGTGGAAAGAAAAGAAGCAGTTAAGCTAGACATAGGGAGTGTGGAAGCAAAATTCCTTGAATACTTGAAAATTTGGAACGTCTCATAGCCAATGGCGTCAAGGAACCTGCACATGCTTCAGACATGGAAGTGCAAAACTTCTGCATGGAGCTAAACAACCGGTTCGAAAGTGAGGGGAATGGTTTCCTTAATCCTTTGAAGCACACAATTCGATTTCGAAGTTTAACGCGAACTTTACGAAATGCAGCTGTTCTAAAGTTTAGGTTGTGTTCTTCCCTTTTATGCTAAGAGTTCAGGAAGTCAAACGCAAGATGGCTCATGAAATTACTCTTGAGCCTCGGGCACCGTTCCTCAGGCTGAAAGTGTGCAATAAAAAGGTGGTTAGACGTGTTGACCTCTTGCCTAAAAGGGTTAACTCGTTCAACTCTGCCCCTGGCCATGATTCAGATCCTTGCAGACGCATACAGCGCTTCAGTAGAAGTTGGGTGTCCAGTTTGTGTCCTGCAGTGGGTTCAAGGTCTGCCCTAATACTTAAGTGTTACAGTTATCTGGGTAATCGTAAAGTGATGATGCAAAGGCGGTAGAAACAGTAGGCAGGTACTTCGAGAAAAAGGGCGAAATTTCGAGAATGTATCTTATCCTATAAGATCGCAGCACAAGTCCAGGTTTTCCTTGAACGACCTCGTAGTTTTTTTTTAATTATTCAAATTCTTCGGACAGAATGCTATCCAGTTGCCATTAATCGAAAGCTAGTGTTGCAATATGTGATCTGCACAGTATGTACGTTCTATTTGAACTGGTTGAAGTACAGGGTGAGACATAACCTGTGAACACTGGCGCGCCAAGTATCACGAGCTTATGGGGCGTGAGGGAATGGAAAATGGTATCTCCTTGTCGCTACACAATACTTGAACAACCCAGAAATTATTCAGGGTAGGCGTAATGACAAAACGAAATAGAAGAGGGACTTGAGATTTAAAAAGCCAGCAAGGAGCAGGGTTACCTCCAGCCAGTGGCGTATTTTAGCTGTAGTCAGGGAAGGCGGGGCAGCAGAGCGGGGACGCCAAACCCCAGCCGAGTATTATCAGGGGAGAAAATAATACCTCAAAGGGAGGGCCTGGCTCCGTCCCAGAACCCCCTCCCCCCCCCCCCCCCCCCCCCCCCCCCAGACTCATTCCACCTACTTATGCGCTATACGCGAGGCACTACATGTACTTTAGGTAAAAAAAAAAAAAACTATGGGGGACTGTATTCCTAGAATGCTTTATTTCTTGTGAATTTACAAACCCGAGCCGAACGCGAACTCACTCCCGAAGCCTGCTTTCATAGGATTGTCACATCTTTAGTTCCTATTTCCTCTTTTAAAGCTTGCGGAAATGCCGTTCTCACTTTCTTCACTCCTTATCTCGCGTTAGTGGCATCGTTTGGATTGAGCTGCATAGGCAGTTTTGTCCTACTTTTTTCTTTCTCAAGATGTTAAAAAAAAATATATATATATATTCAGATGAAAACCTGACATCCTTCACGGGAGGCTGGGTCACACCCCCAGCTAAAAAAAAAGAAATCGCTCGAGAGGAAATTCGGAAAAACCAGACCAGGAGGAGACCCACGCGTCCTTGTCAACTTCGTTTTCTTATTATTCCTATAATAGAACTCCTTCACAATAATCGTCTTGCAGAGGACATTTTTAAATGCATTACTATTAGAGTTAACTGTGTTTAGTCCGCTAGTTGGAATCCAGTTAAACAGGTTTTTAATGGAAAAAATAATACGTTGTCCTCATCGCATTTAACAATATGCGCAAGGGTTGTTAAAGGGTGCGAATAGGTTTTCTTGAAATTTCAGGTTCTGGTCCTCGTACAAGAGACAGATCCTGGGGATACTGAGAAGTGGATCTACTTGACCAACAATATATTGGCTTTCTTGGGGAGCTATGAGTACAGAAAAATTAACATACACAGTTCACAGGACTTTCGTGTTGTACAAACATGTATCACTAGTGAGGCTTGACTGAAAGGAACCTGCTTTCTTTTTTTAAATTCTAGACATCGTCCTGTATAGGCTACAGATCAAACGCTTTGGATATTCGCATGACGTAGGTATCCAAATCCAAGCCTATATGATAGGTCTACAGCAGCGGTTCCTAATACTTTGTTGTAAAGGGTAAAAAGACAGATTTTAAGTGAATTTTAGGGGAGGGCGTAGGCATGTGACCGTTTCACTGAAGAAGTTCGGTGCTATGGTCTCCACTGCTGGTATGCCCAATCCTGTGGAAGGTTCAAATGCTGAATGCGCAAGACACATGATGACATTTTACTGCAAGTAAAAATGGAAAATTACAAATAACAATGTCATTCCTCTCAGACATCAAATCTGTTCAGTACTTGTTGAGGGAAAATCACATTGGCTAAGAGCATATTCAGCTGTGCCTCATTAAAGCAGAGTGCAATATCACTTCTTTCCATTCCAACAATGATCATAGAGGCTCTAAAAATGCAAAAGAAATACATGAAATGACTAGACATGGAACAAAGACCAGATCAGGTAAAAATCTTTCCATACTCAAGTTGGAAGCAGGCTTCAAATTATATAAAAACACAACCCAGCACCATCAATAATGTAAGTGACAAATGCAACAGTGGAATGAACATCACACAATCTAGGACTGCATTGCATCACTGAGGAACCAGTCATGCACAAAAGGAAAAATGGCACTAAACTACAGAATATGTAGAAAAATTTCCAGAATGTTTTAAAATAAATGTTCTATATCTTGAGTTTGATGACAGATTTATTCAAGAAATTATGTGGCCAAAAAGTCACTATGTGATTTCAAACTTGAATGTCTTATGAAAAGGTGAGAAAAATGTAGCAGTTTCCCTTAAGCATTGGCTCTGCCCTTCAGTTATGTATAAAAATTAAATTGATGGGGATTTTGCTTCCCTGAAACAAACACTTGAGAAAAATCTCAAAATAACATTGTCATCATTGCTCTGTTGGCATTATATTTCTGGTGCATGATCAACAAGCATGATGATGAGTTCTGAACATCTAAAGCAGAAAAAGGTGGTGAACTGTACTGCATAAAAAGTAATTTTCTCAATGTTGTCTCAATGTCCTCAATGAGACCTCATCCCCAAAAAGTCAGTAGTGCCAAGACAGCAATGGTAACAATGTGAAGTTTGAGGTTTTTTTCAGGGAAACAAGAATTTCCATTGGCTTAAATTTTATACCAAGTAAAATAAAGAAAGAATTTGCAGGAAATCACTGAGTTTTACTCACCTCTTCCGTTGCTTTCAAGCTAATAAAGTTGGTTATCAACTAATATCAGTCACTCTGCATAGAATGTATTCATGCTTTAATGTAACAAGGAATCATAAGTTTGGGCCAAAAAATATCAAATGTGCAGACACTTCCTATTCCATTATTGCTGTGAATGAATAAAGCAGGGTGCAAGGATTCCATCACCAGAACAAAAGAATACTATTTCACGAGACTGCTGCCTTCGATGAAGAGGCACGCAGGCTCTGTAACCAATTCTTGGCGCTTGCGATTGAGGACACAGTGGCATAGGAATCATGTTCCCCTTCCACTGTCATAGGTTTCCCCTTCCGCTGCCTACCTTTGCGTCTCATCAGTTGTGCAACCGTTTCTGGCTCTCCATCCATAAGTTTGATCAGCTGCTCCTGGTCTGAGTCCTGGATTGGTTTGATGCCTATGTCTCGCACAGCTCGGAATTTACCACAGTTGTTCAGGTGCTCGTTTTCCAGTCGAAATAAGTTCCACATGAACCGGCTGTAAAAATCATTCGATTGTAAGTTCAATGAAATATCATGAAGGTATGGGTTCACAAATCATGATACTCTAAAAATGACTCCAATTACATAATATGATCAATCTCCTGATATGGCAAACTGGACAGACAATATTGATGATAAGACCTATTCCACATACATATTCTATTCTCTCCAGAGGCCATAAAAGGATGAGCTAAGTTGAAAACTTTGCAATTATGTGATCAAGTATAGCATGAGGGGGAACTTACTCATTTGTTACTTCAGATGCATGATGAATAAAATCATGCCAAGACTTGCAGTTTAACGTCCTCACAGGATTATCCCATGAGCAACCTAATCAGATCTGAGTTCCCACATCCCATGATGTAAATCCAATGGCAATATGAGGGTTGTTCTGAAAGTCCAGTGAAAGAGATACTTGTCATAATGCTAGAAGCTGACTTTTTATTCTTTTTTTTTCTATATGGTTTTAGAAGTTCCAGTGAAATTTCTCAATTTTTTGCCCAGCATGAGTGCCCAAAATTTGTGAAAATGCAAGCTCTCTCCCCCTTCTGAGGTGCAGTTGTGCAACTGAATTTCATACAATGGTTTCTTGAGTTTCAAGCTCTGAGAAAATGTGTCTGAGTGCCATGAAAGGCTTATTAAAGCCTTTGACAGTGGAGCTACATCTAAAAAGTTTGTGAATGACTGGTTTTTACAGCTCCTGTCTGATCAGACTGATCTTGATGATGCCCCATGTAAAGTGTGTCCAAAAACTGCTGTCATTGATGCAAATGTGGAGAAAGTCAATCATCTGTAGATGAGCCAAAGATAACCTACCTTGCCCTTGAAGAGACTGTTGGCATTGGAGTGGCAGCATTAAAGAAAAATTCTCGACAAATATTTGAAAACTAGAAAAATAGTAACCTACTGGGTCCCAAAAGACCTGTCTGACAGCAAGAAACAGGCAAGCGTGAATTTAAACAAAATGATGCTCCTAAAATTCTACTCGAACCACTCAAAATGTGTCTCTGATCTTGTAACTGGTGATGAGACATGGTTCTGTCACTTGAGCTGGCCAAAGAATTATGCAAAAATTCACTGGAACTTCCAATATCCTATAGAAAAAAGGAATAAAAAGACAGCTTCTGGAAATATGACATATGACTTTCACTTCACTTTCAAAATAACCTTCGTACATTGGACCTCACTTGTAGCACATCCATATTCCCTGGATTTCAGAATGTTCATTGGATATCCCATAGATATAATACAGTACATGGGATCATATAGCTGAATGACCAAGGGGCATTACTTTGATCTCCCCTCAGAAGCCCGTATAAAATCTGGGGACTTGAATTTTCTCCATAATTTTTTTTTCTTTTTACTGTCACAGAAAGTGTTTTTATGCATGTCAAATATTCTTTGGAGAATGGTACAATGAAATGAGAGAGCAGGAGAAAGGTTGCATCCCATAGCACATCTGCAAGGTGTAAATTCTTCAACAGGTACATCCTATATATATCCTTCATGGGATACCCCCAGTTCTAAGTTGCATACCCCTGGACACACCTAAAAATAGTAGTACCCCAAAGACATCCCCTGGAGGCCTTAGGGGGACTCCACATGCAGGGTGGGGCAAAAGTCAGTTTACCATAAGCACATGTTTTTAATTTTTGTTTTTATCTATTCCAGATTGAAATTTGAAATTAAAATTGGAAATTGGAAATGGAGCAACGTATGAAACTAACAATGGAGCAACATGTGTTTCTTCTGCCGGAATGGTGGAAAACAAACATGGGTTTATTTATTACCTTTAATAATATATTAAAATTAAAATTGCACTTTCGGTAAACTGATGTTTGCCCCACCCTGTAAATGGAATGTCCCTCAGATGCAAGTTGGCTCCACAGATCACGTAGCCTGTAGGTGGCTGTTAACATCTTGAGCCAGGGGTTCTTAATAGCTATGAAAAAAGTGAATATTATTTACAGGGTCTTCAAAAAAGGACACTATTTTCTTTAATTAATATATGACAAGGGGTAGGAGTTAAAGCTTTGAAAAATTGCACCATTGTATAATGGAGTTTTTTTTTTCAGAACTATTGTTGACCTTTTTGAAGATGGGGTCAACATTTGTTTATTGTGAAGCATTATTTCCAAACAAACAGTATTACACAAGATAACATAAAGAGCACAATTTGGAGTAAGGGAAGCCCCAAGCAGATCTGCAATGACAAGACTTGTGAAAAAATTCACAAACACTTCAATGACCACATAATCTCAAATCAATTTCCAGGTCATTTTGAATGTGGATGGCCTTGGTCACCATACTCTCCTGACCTCAGTCCTAGTGATTCTTTCTTATAGGGATTCCTCAAGGACAATGTCTAGAGAAACAACCTTCACACCATTGCAGAACTGAAGGTGGAAACCACATCAGTTGTGGAGAGCATCAGCCAGGAGACTCTTACCATGGTTATGGAAAAATTTTAGAATCTCTTGAAAGGGTTCTGCAAGTCAAAGGCTCTCACATTGAGCATGTGTTTGTATGAAAAAAAAACACACTCAATTTCCATGTAAACAATATGTTGTACAACTTTATACCTCACATACTTTGAAAATATAAATTCAAGAAAATAGTGTGTTCTTTTCTGAAGACCTAGTAAAACAAGGGGGGATTATATCTATCCCTTCATGCTTCCTTAAGTGATATGTTGCCATATCAGAGCAGAATCTTTCATCACTTGTCCATCGCCAGAGAAATGTTGGAGTACTTATTCAAGCAACTTGATGTTCGCAATGTATCATCTGTTATGTCTTACTCATGCCATTTGTGCAGTAGAGCTTTGGTATCTGCCCTCTCTACACTCCTGTGACCTTAATTATGTATGCTGGTCTGCATAGTGTTATGAGCAGCACATATATATAACTTTCCCCAAAGCATTTCTGGGTAATATGCAAATAATGCAATGGTGGCACCCCTGAATCAATATGTACCAAGTGCTGTAATTCATTCTTCATGTATCACTTGTCATACCTGCATGATGGCACCAAATTATATCTTATAATGTAGGTGTTGCAGCACTCTGAAATGTGATTCTCACTTTATAATCACTGTTTATGAAATCCTACATTTTCTTATATTGATAACTGATTTCCATGGAAGCACATGACAACATAAATGTGGTATGCATACAGAAACCACCCTTGCACAAGCCTATCCAGCTAACTTCAGGCATCATGTTGGCTACTGTGAATCTACAGGGTGCCCCCAAAATACATTGAAAAATTAAAATACACAATTTTTTACAGGAAACAAATTGTGTCAAATCCTGTGCTGAAGTGACACCTTTTATCTTAGCACCCTTCTCTTTCCATTTTTTTTCACTCATATTCCAATCTCAGGGGAGTCTCTTCATCTTAAGTGTGCACCTACAAATTAATTTGGCTCTTTGCTTCTTGGTCTGCTGAAGTCTGCCTGATAAAAGCTAATTATACTACTGACCATGTGTAGAGACAGCTCTACACAACAGAATTACTATTCTACACTATTCTTGCAAAAAATGGGGCCACTTATGAATTACACTACCCTCAAAGGGAGTGAGATCAGGGCAATGAAATGAATTTGTCTTGATAAGTCTAACTGATGGCATTGTCAACAAAGGTCATCAGTAGTCACAATGTAACAATAAGCAGAAGTCTCAATATATATGCCAATCAGATCTATCCATTGATCTTGGGGTCTCGTGAAAATATAAGTAAGAAACAGAAACAGGATATTATTGGCATACTTAGACCTACATATTCATCTGCAATGGAATACTATTAGACCAATATGGTCAAGTCAATACCATGCCTGTCATATGGCTGATACATCCATGTGGCCTGTCCTTGGAATGGGACTGGTGCCAGCTAATGTCCAATCTTGAAGAAAATGTTAATTTTTAAGGAAGAAACAACAGGACATGGTTAGGCCTTAGTAGATCAGTAATATAAATGAAAATGGATGCAGCAGTGAATTTGGTTTCAAAAAAAGAAAAACTGAAAGGAGAGGAGATTCAGGCATCTTTATCACCTTTTCAGATGCATATTCCTAGTTTAATAAATGGGAGGCTCTCCTTCAACATTGGTAACCAACATTGGTTGTTAAATAACAGAAGGCATGACAATGGTTTACTGGAATATTGTTACATATCTAAATGAAGATTTTCTGACATCCATTTTCATTAAAATATGATTTTGCTACACATAGAATAAGCATGAGGTCATGAGGGTGGTTCAGAAGGGCAGGAGAGGAGTGAATGACAAGTCACAAAAGCATACTGCCAAAGCAAATGACCAGACAGCTACTCATTGGGTGAATCAAAGACATCTTCATGAAAAGTAATGGCTCTGTCCCTACACAGCATAATGTGAACAAATGCAAGAAAATGAAGCAAAGAAACAATGGATATGGGCTGAAAGAGGCTGAAGGATGAATTTGAAGAACTTTGTGAGCTAGTGATTAGGTAATGAGGTAAGATAGCTTGAATGACTCTCAGGAGAGCAGTAACTAAGCAAGACAACACAGATATCGTACCTCCCACAGCAACTTCTACGCTAACCTCCAAGCACACTCGATCTCAGAGCTCATCTTGAAATTCCAGGCTGGACACATAGTCATCACACTCGCACTCATGGGATGATGAACTCTCAATAGTCTCGTAGAACTTGATATCTTGCTTGGATCTGAAGTCTCCACAGTTATTAACAAATTCATTCTCCAGCCGAAAGAAATTCCAAATGAAGCGTCTGCTTGAGGAGATAGAGCAGGGAAAAGGGGCACTCAAGCATTAGCAAATAAAAGGCATGCAAAAAGCAGGATCCAAGCAGTGCAAGCACACACATGGCAGGTCATTGAACTAATGACAGAGTGAACTGCTGAGTATGAACACCAGCCTACATGTGGTGATTTCATCTATCACAATAATGTTAATTGGCTCTAAAAAAGCAAATGATTGTGTGCTCACCGGAAGACTTCCAAAGGAGCAAGAACTGTGACCATGAGATCACCATGGATATATCCCATTTCAGTCAAGGAGAGAGATATGGCCCATCCAAACCTCAAGATGAAGTCCTCACCCATGGCAAAGTAATAGAAGTGCTAAAGAGGAGATAAATAGCGAAGGTCACAGGGAGTTACACGCTGTGAGATCATGGGTGAGTTCTTCTACATCAAGGTTGCTATTAATTGAACTAAAACTTAACTTTAATTCAAGACTCTCACTGTCCTTATTCCTATTTTCCACAGCAGCAGAGTCATACTTGAACATGAACAAAGGATATGGCAAAGAGGATGCTATTCATAGAGTGATGTGACCTTTCAAAGGCATCCTCTGACTTACAGGTGAAGGGTATACTATTTCTTCACGAAGGAACTTATTGTCTCCAGCATTGCTATCAAGCAATCCCCAATCCATCTTGATGTCCCAAGCAAATGCATATACAGAACTCAGGATGGAAGCAAGGATCCACAAGAAGAAAAATGGATTGTCTTCCAAAGCCTCATATGAATCTAGACAGAAAAGAATACATCATTACCTTGCAATCCTGGATGCAAAAAAATTCAGTCTTAATATCTTGACTTTCTTCTCTAAAAAGAGAGCTTACAAGGTCTTTGAGTAATTTTCTTTCAAGACCAGCTCAGAAAAGTCAGCATTCTCCAATTCCCAATATGGATTTCTTTCAGGTAAAGCAATCTAGATGGCAGTCAACCTCTTCATAATACACATCAATGTCTTCTGTCATCATTGAAGATATGACTGTAACACCCACTTACTTGGTGACTCTTGAGTTAAATGAATAATCTGAAAAGGGTAGTGACTATATTGAAGCCAAGAGTGAAAAATGATGAATGTCCCATTGAATTGTGATGGACTTTGATCAGTACTTCCATCATAGCTTAATTGTCAAAAGGAATAGCTAAGAAACATAATTTAGCAGGACCCCTGTTTTAAAAGGAAAAGTTTTCAACAGCTTAACTCAATGAATGTCCAATCCATCCTAATTCATACTTAGATTAATCATAATTCTGTTCAAACATCATCTCAGCAAGAGAGTAAAGAATAGGTTGACTATTGACTATATATACAGGGTGGTTGGAAAGTAACTCCCTAATGTTTTTTGGTTTTTATTCTTTTTGGGTTTACCAGCAAGTGACAACTTCAACATTGTCTTATAGAGGGATTATTGAGAATTTGTTTGGCTGCTGTCAGCATAGCTAAGCATTTGACATTACAAAAAAGGGCTCAGATTGGTGGAAGATATGAAGTCTGGAAGTTGGTGACAGAAGTTCAGAGATGGTGGTGTGCAGAACAAGTACCCCATACATCCCTTTATCTGAAGACGATAAGAAGCATTCACACTACATTAATGACAACTGGATCAGTTCTTGACAGACTCAAATCAGGACACCCTTCCACATCCTACACCCCTGATAGTGGCAACTATGTGCAAGATATTTGAACAAAGTCCTAAAAAATCAACTTGTCCAGCAGTCCATGAAAGTGGCTTATTATGCTTCACAGTTTTTGTTTTGAAGTCAGAGATGATGTTCCAACCATGGAGACTTCATTATGTTCAACAGATAACCCCTGAAGATTATGACAGGCACATGGAGTTTTGACAAATGATGCAGGACTGGCTTCAAGATACACCAAATACTTTGGAGGAAATCATATGAAGCAGCCTTTCACACTGAAAGATCCTTTAATAGACACAGCATTCAGTACTGGGGACATAGCAATGAGGATCCTCTGATAGTGATTGAAAATTTAAAAAACCGAGAAAGGATTACTGTCTGGTGTGGATTCACAGCATCACATTTCTCCCTGAGCACATATGTGTTGCATGATACCATGAATGCTGAGCATTACCTCTCTATGCTTCAAGACTATAACTTGAATATTTCACAATGGTCACACCACAGGAATCTCTTCTTCATACAGAATGGAGTTCCACCTCATTTTGTTAGATTTGTATGAGAGCAGCTGAATGTGAACTTCACAGGTTGGTGGATGGATATTAGGGGGCAGTCAATTAGCCTGCAAAAAGTCCAAACTTAACACCAAGTGACTTTTTCCTTTAAGGTTGGGCCATGGGAAAGGTGTATGAAACCAACCCTATGACTGTACAGGAACTTGAACAACATGGCAGAGATGTGCTGACAAATGTTCCTAGGGTTTATGTGGAGAAAGCAGTGAAGAGTGCTCAAGAAAGACTTAACAATGTGCTGCAAATTATGGTTCATATGTTGAACTGTAAGACTTTGATACCTAGATCATATGAAACCTCATGGAATACTCTTTCCAATGCTGTGTCATTTGCCTGTTTTAGACAATATCTGTATTTCTTATTTATAATATAAAATAAAGTTACTTTCCAACCACCTTGTAGTTGAAGGCTGTGGTTTCATCTACAGCAGGGGTGCACAACATGTGGCCCACAGGCCACAAGGTCCTTGCTTGTGGCCCATTGTGACTGGTGGCGTTGTAAGTGCTACTATGGCTCCTGCCCTGTTGACTACAGCTATGATCAGCTAGACTGCAGCCCGTGTTATGTGAGTAAAAGTCACAAGCGGCCCTCGCAGTCCTGAGTAGTGCACCCCTGAGCTACAGCAAGATATCTTACTCTCATCATGTTGCATTTACTTCTTAGGGAGACATAATTTACTTCAGAGTCAGACATGAGACCACACTGCAAGCACATGCCTTACTCAAGGATGAATCTATGCCTATCATTTTACTCAAGGATGAATCTATGCCTATCATTTTACTCAAGGATGAATCTATGCCTATCATTTTACTCAAGGATGAATCTATGCCTATCATTAAGACATGAAGCATGATGAACTGTGTCAGTCTACTTGTAAGTACAATAGGTGAAGCCTGATTACTCATGTTAACAAAAGGAAGTAGCTCTCTATGTGATAAGGAAACACAGACACTTTAAGCAAGTTTAATATCTGAAGTGGGGACTTATCAATCCAAGGGTTTAGCAATGAAAGGGAATTTTTTCCCATAAAGTATACTGATATGGTATTAAAATTTTATAAGTATTATTGATTTAATAGATTTTCATTAAGCTCACTTGTCATATCCAGTAAAAAGTAAAAAGTGCATGTGGGAGAATTCTCGACATATCTGTCATGCCCAATTATGGGAAAAATCTTTGACAGATGTAGATGTACTCACTAAGAGGTTAATATTTGCACAAGGTGGTAAAGTTTGATATCAACAGTTGTGAATGAAACAACTTGGGATTGTTTGCTGTACGAGGAATCTATACACTGTTAAACCCTTTGAGGAGTATACCCATATATTTATGGGCTGAGGCAATCCTGTCCTTCATATATTCACTCTGGGAGATCTTGCAGGCATTAAAAAAAACCCACTCCTCAAGGAGTTAAGTAGGACACAAATATTCAGGTTTAATTACGGTGCTATATCTGAGGGCTCACTTTGGTTCAGTAGGTTCAGAGTAGAAAAAAGAACCACAAGGAAGGTTGTTGAGTATTTCCCAGCATTGACAAGGTGAGGGAAGGCTTCTTTGGTATCTCGATACCGCCTGAGGCACTGAGCGAATCGAAACCATGCGGGAAGGCAAGCCACAAATGGTCTCATCCCCCAAATCTTGTTTACACACTGAGCTATATGAAAGAACAGCACAACTTCCAAGTTAGCAGGTATGCAACAAGTTAAAAAAAAAAAAAGCAAAACAAAACAAAAACAATGTTGCCATCCTTGCAGAACAATTAAAAGTGACAAAGTGCAGATGGCATGAGAAAACTTTTCCAAATGATGAGCCATCAAATGTTTTATTTGAAATTAGGTCATGATCTGCATACTACAGAATGATTCTTGTGATGAAAACCTGAGTTGTTCACTACATCAGTTAATCTCAGCAACTTTGCAAGAATGTCTCTATTGGGTATAGGAGATTGGGTGCATCAGCAGGTAAATCAGTTAGCATGCCAGGACTGAAACTCATGATTTTGAACCTCACTCTCCTGTAAAAAGGGAGAGAGTACTAATGTGTATCTTTCCAAAGAAAAGAGAACATCCTTAGGTATTTTTTGTAAGCCTGGTACATGCAAGAGGGGCATTATACCAGCCAGTAAGGGTAATAAGAATCTTTTGCAAGAATGTATTTCATATCTATCATGGATCCTCACATTGGAGACAAACTTGCAGGGAGTCAGTAGGTTTTCTTATTAAGAAAACCAACATCCTCTTGACCATTATCATGGTGAAGTTATTGAAGAGACATTGGGTAGGAATTTTTTGTTTGTTTGTTACAGGGATACAATAACTTGGATAGGGGAAAGCTATTCATCCTCCAAATTCATTTTTTCCACAACAAGGGGTCATTCCTTGAAATTATTTATACATAAGCCTAGAAAATTTAAAATTTTAGATAGGGATATTTCACTCAGTGGATGGAAAAATGGGGTTTTTCTGACATGAGGTAAATTGGGTTGTGTGGTTAAATACTTGTGGCTGAATTTGCCATAACATCTTATTTCTTCAGTAATATTATTGAGGTATGCCACTTCCTGCAAGGGGCACCAAGCCATTTAGATCAAACCAGATGGTTTGATCTAAAGACCTCTCTCCAAAGGGACTTTTATTTTTAGCCATGTCAAAACACTGGCTTATGCTCAAATGTGCACCTTTGATTCAGAGGAGCCAGATATATGGGTTTATGATGCTGCTGCAATGATCATCTTGATAATTAGGGAAACAGACTTGCTGGTAATTTGTCAATTGGCAAATGAGCCTTGACAGAAAAGGCAGTGCTTAAGCTGTGATAATGAAACCTAAAGCCTTTCTTTTTTGTAGAAAAAATAATCGGCTTTCTATTTTTATTTTGAGTCAGAAACCATGTTCATCTACCCAGGGAACCTTGTTCTTTGTCTGTCAGTGACCTTTTTGTCACACTGTATGGATCCTGGGAAGGTGAACGGAGCTTTTTGCATTTTCAAGATAGGGATCTATTGATGGAGTAAAGAGAAATAAATCTGTGGATAATTGAGAGATCAATCACATCAAAAATGTCATTTTTGAATTTTTAAATGGTGACCACAATCACAAAATAAATATATATCAAAGGTACAAAAAATTGTGAAAACTACTCATAGGACCCTGACCCTGGATTTTGATTGAAGCCCATAATTATATAACTCTGATTCAAAGTGACACTTTGACATGATCCTTTCTTCAAGTTGACCTATTTAATTTCTATTTAAAAAATGTTTAAATACATGTACATCCTTGTATTTGTGATAAAGTTTGGGAAACTATCATGTGAACATGAAAAGTCCACTTGCAAAAATGATTAATACAAAAAGGGCAAGGGATACCATATTTTCTGTAATTCTCATTTAGCAAAACTGCTCTAGGAAGCCAATGATCAAATAAATTTAATACAAGGACAATTCAAGCTAATTCCTTCATGGAACTGCTATGAGTATCAGCTTCCTGATGTTTCCATGTCTTATACATGGTTAATTTATGCAATAACACTTAGGCATAGACATAGATGTGGTGATCTCCAATTGGATTCTCTTGTAAATAGTTGTGTCATTGCAAGGCAGTAGATTTTATCTTACTTTGATCAGCCTTATCAAGATCTCCATTGCTGACATAGAAGCAGATGAAATACTCCAGGTCAAGCAGAGCAGGAACAAGGCTGTTCAGCTGATCCGCAAGCCAAAAGTCCGCAAAGTTGACATAGAAGAAAGGTGCACAAATCACCCTGCACTGTAAATTCATTCAAAGGGATGAAAAGCACTGATCCAACAATTATGTCAGAAGAATCTTTTTATAAGACTAATTACATACCAGGGTGCGAAGAAGCCAGAAGCGGGCATTGGGCATGAAAGTGTGAGTGGGATTAACTAGGAACAGGAACATGATCCCAATCAATACAATAGGATGAACAAATCTCGGAATCTGAAGGGTGTCACTGAACAAGTATGCCAATCCTGACAAAGCCCAAAGGACCCCAAGCATCCCAGCAATTTCCATCAAGTGTTGCTCTGATATATGATGACGAGGATTCAATTCAAATATCAGCACATGGTTCACCCCTGCAAAGGAAAGAAATCTGGATTTAAGCAGCTGTGGCTTGTGTACTTCAATTTAGAGAGAAGAAACTTGACTGGGTAGGGCATTAATTTTCTGCTCAAGCTGAAAAGAACCTGACATTTTCAGATGGCAAGGTGACCCAATGACCAACAAAGCCAAGGAAGAGTAAGATTTAAGATCTCTATGCCACTCAAAACACTGCATTTACAAAAATTGAAACAAAAGTAAAAACTGTTTTGTAATACTGTCCACTTTCCAGAAAAACTGCTGACTGCAAGCATAAGGTAGTTTAATGTCATGAATAGCTTATTATATTTAACAAATTTCTGAACTTAATTTTCCCCCTAGACCTAGCAGCATTTTTTTCATCCACATAGCACTCCACTTGAGTTTTGATTCAGGATATCCTGATTCATGAACTCCTTAACTGAATAAACTTTTCTAGATGCAGTCCTGGTTGCTACCATGCCATCCTTCAGAATGAGCTGGAACATTAAATTCTTTTGGATACCAGCACTAATTGCACTGTCACTGTCTGTGATAGATATGTGGAACATGAAACTAAACTGCTGCCAAAATATACAAGCATCAGCTGTTGGTAGCAAGAACCATTAAAATCAGACATTGCAGCCTTTGCATTAGAGAAGAAAGAATCACTCTTTGTTCAAAGTTATCTCAAATATTAGCCTTTTTATGCCAATGAAAAATGGCTTGTGAGAGATACAGGGTAGGGTTGCACTTTGACACACTTTCACAACAGCCATAACAAATATATTTATATTTTATAAATATATCCAATTTTACAGACAATTTTAAAACCCTGAAAATTGCTAGATGATGTCATTCAAGACATAGTGCTAAACAATTAATGACCAATGACCAATGACAATTAATTGACTTAAATGGTATGAATGCAAAAGGTAGTGTTTATCAACTCCCACACCTTATGTATTATTGACCAAAAATGAAAGAAGTTGGTGATTTTTTGAGCAGCCCTCTGCTTCCTGTAGAGATGGGTGAGCTTGACTATTGCCATGAGCATACAGGTGTTATGGCTATGCAGTACAGAACTCTCCTAATTTTTGACAAATGGAAAAGATACAATTGAATCTTATAAAATTCTACAGCAGAATGATGAGTATATTCATCATAACTTGCAATAAATTTGAAACATTTTCCAAAACATAGTTCAAGTAAGAAAAAAACCATGATGGGAAAGCTAAGCTTCCATTTTCTTTCCACAATATCCACTTTTTCTTTGCTTTCATTTCTTACCATAAGTGCCAGTTTCTGCTGCTCAAAGGAGCTGTCACTGCTAGACCCATTTGTTGACATTTCTGACAATCACATGATTTTCCCCTTAATCCTTAACCCTTTTGCACTCAGCCTATTTTCCAAGTACCTGGCCTAAAACACTCTCTGATCCTGAACTACATCACATTATGTAAAACAATGCATACATACCTTTTGCAGTTAGCACCTGTGTTTAGGGAAGTATTTTGAGTCATTTATGTAACTAAACAACAAAAACAACCTTTGAGCCATTTATGTAACTAAAATAGCATGATTTAGACGGAGCTGATGGATCAGCATGCTGAGCGTATAAGCGTTAACAGCTGAGTTTTTGCAGCAGAATTGCTACACTGAATATTTTCTTGAGTTGTCATCCCATAGCTCTGGATGAGAGAGACAGTGTCTCATTGAAACACCAGGATGGATATACTCATCAGCTGCAGTGAAATGGTTAACACTTTCACAGTTGCAAGTATAAATTACACTGAGACTGTAAAACATGTAATTTTGATTTACATATTGCTATTGCATAATTCATTAAGAAAGTTTTATGAAAGTTGTTTAAATATATTGTTAATATATTTTAACAAATATTGTTAAAATTGAGAACTTCAATATAATTTTAAGCTGATGTAACTTTCTGGTTCTTAATAGGAAATTACTTGACTGTCGATTTTGGGGAAAATATATTTAAAATCCTTGACCTTATTATATAAGTGTTAAGGCAAGATCAGACTAATCACATGGCATAGCATGAGTAATCATGAACTATGATTACTTCCAAGCAACTCAATGCACAGATGCTCTAATGCTATGCTATACTATGCAGTTGGAGTTAAGCTTCTTTTACAGGTTCAGAGTATTACATGTGTGGCCATATCAAGTGATAAGAGAACCAGATGTCAAGTGATTCATGCAGAAGCAGGGAAACTGGAACATTTTCCTTTCCTGGGACACTTGCAGATGAATACATTTAAAAATTATCATAAATGAAACAGTTCTGTGAGACCAAGAAACTCACCTGATGATCTCCATCCATAGACATTGATGCCCAGAAGGAAAAGGAATAAGATGAAGAGAAGTGGTCCCCTATAGAGACGTATGGCAATCCGCCAATTGTCACGTTGCCAATCATGAAATATAGCTGAAAGGAAATATTTTGCAAATAATACTCAGAATATGACAACATGCATCCAAAAAAATTAAATTATTCCAGATATACAGGGTGATTCAAAAGTCACCTACATTTTTTTTGGTGCCATATATGGTATCAATCAATTTGCCTGCTCCTTGTGAGCAGCTTGGTATAATATTAGTGTGGGGCAAAAGATACTTTGGAAGGAATGACTGAAAAAGAGTCATAATTAGCCTAAAATTTCTTGACTCTTGGGTCACTCCACACCAAATCAACCGAGGACGAGCTGAACCATCTTCCAATTTTGACAAAAATCAGTATGCATGTAGAAGAATTGATTTTAAGAAAATAACCTCCAGAGATTTTTTTTATTATCTTGCTCTGATCTCAAGATATATGCATTTGAGTTTCACCTATTTTTGCTATAGCTTCTCTTCTATTTAAGATAAAAGCTTTGTTATGGTGTCATTTTAATTGTGAAACTGTCATCTTTAGATTGTTTTAAATCAAACAGTTTGATTAAATTCAGTGGAAGATATCTACACTTACCATGATTGGAACTTGTGGTTTCAATACTTGATTCCAAATGTTTTTTATGCCTTTTCTAACTATACCAAATTTGATATTAACACGCAGTTGCCCCATGAGATACAATCATTTGACGGAAGGAACGGGCATAGATGGCTGCACTTGGAATCAAGGGAATGTACGCTGTTGTGCTGTACACAGTCTGTACACACACATCTGGTATACTTTGGCACCTTTGCTGACATTTATAGCAAATGGGAGGTTCAGTCTCTACTGCTGTGCTTGGCAGAGAGAGGTTGGATGGGCATATAAATCCTGGGTGGTCAATGTGTTAATATAATCAGAATTATAGGTAAATAAAGTAAAATGAAAAGACTGCTTTGCCTTTTTCTCTTATTTTTTAACTTTTACCTTTAACTTTTTTAGAGTCTCTCACTCTGACATTCAAGAGTGGAATGATCTTGAAATGAGTGAAAATTGGGCTTCAAATACAGCATAACCCAAGAAAACCCATGGGTTTGAGGACTTAATTATATTTTGCATTTACTACATTAAGAAATGGTAGACTTGCATGACCTTATATAACGTGTTTACTTATTTTTCTCCCTTTTTTTTTCTTTCTTCTTTTTAAAGATTGGATCCCAAGGTCAGCAAAAGGTAGCTAGTCAGTGACCTAAATCAGAAGACCATGCCAGGAGGGACAAGGAGACTGGAAGTACGATTAGCACCCCGGTGACAACATCCAGGCACAGTGTCTCTTGGTTAATATAAACAATCCATATATGAAATTATTCCATTTGAAATCAGAAGTGGTTTCAACTTGGAGAAAATATCCCACAGCAAGAATCAAGAGTCACAGAGATCCAAAAGAAAGACCTGGAGGAAAAGGATACAATTCAAACAAAAAGAAGTTAAAATACCATTTCTTTAGAATGAAAGGGATAAAAAGAGTGCACATAAGACTAAGAGAAAATAAACTTTCTTTTTCAACTGTTAAGAAAATCCAAATCCTTCATTACTGAGAAATGAGAGAAATAAGAAAGATTCAAGAGGAGAAGCCTTAATACTAATATATATTTTAATATCAATTTGACCAATATTGGTATAAATGCCAATAGGTTATCAGAAGCAATATCCCATCACACTCATAGTGGCCATACCATAATTAAAAAACTCTTGGTACCACTCATTTCTTCAAGGTCATCCATAGCTTTAGCCCATCTTGACCTGCTTGTCCTCCAATAACAATAAAAGAGAAATATATTTCTGGTATGCATGCACTGATAACCTACACATTCCACTTGATAAATAAAGGCAGCCTATAGATACTTTACACATGAAGGGTTGGCTAAAGAAAGCAAGTCACTCAAAACTTTGCTATAAAATCCTTATTTCTTAACACGTTGGCGACAATGCGTCCTGATGCCAGGATGCAGATTTCATTTTCAATGAATACCCACCCTCTGGAACTGTTGAGAACGTTCCAGAAGATTATGATTTTGTACAGTATGCGGCGAAAAAATGGCTACACTTATGTCCAGATTTATAACTTCATCCAGAAGTGGAACTGGGCCGCAATAATTTTTTCTTAAGTAGAGGTTGGGTGGTTCTTTATAAATAATTCCGAGATTTTGAGATTTGTTTGCATTTAGTTGCAATGGATTCCAAAAGAGAGGCCATCGTTAATTTGTCTCATGCTGGGAAGACCCCCACCCAGATTGCCAAGGCCCTGAATATCCACAGGGTTAAAATATTTTGAAACATTTATGAATCATTGTGAGAGGGGTTCATAGGATTTTGCAGTTAGTGCTAAACAATATCCAAAAATATGAAACTCACTGGGGACACTATATGGGATGCAGTTTAAGTTGAAATTTTGGTCAGCTGGCCATGTATTGTACTGGTCTACAACCAAAACATAATCTGATTTATTTTTTAAGGGAGAGCTCCATGGAGAGGTGAAATTTAATAGGTTTCCTAAATTTTCACTGCACTGTTTCCTGTTTTAAGGTTGGAAAGTCCCCACATTGATCAAATTACAATTATCAGGTTCATATTTTAAAACACAAATCTACTGGGTTCTCAGACACCTTTTATGTTCCTCAATGTGGTTTTACAATGAAACCTTGTGACTTTTACATATGATAGGAGCAAAAAGGATATTCCTGTCTATATTTCCTGGTATACAGTATGCGGCGAAAAAATGGCTACACTTATGTCCAGATTTATAACTTCATCCAGAAGTGGAACTGGGCCCCAATAATTTTTTCTTATGTAGAGGTTGGGTGATTCTTTATAAATAGCTCCGAGATTTTGAGATTTGTTTGCATTTAGTCGCAATGGATTCCAAAAGAGAGGCCATCGTTAATTTGTCTCAAGCTGGGAAGACCCCCACCCAGATTGCCAAGGCCCTGAACATCCACAGGGTTACTGTGTACAAGGTCCTCAACAAGTTTAAGGCCACAGGCAGTGTCAAGAGGAAGCCTGGAAGTGGAAGGCCACGTTATTCCGAGATTTTGAGATTTGTTTGCATTTAGTTGCAATGGATTCCAAAAGAGAGGCCATCGTTAATTTGTCTCATGCTGGGAAGACCCCCACCCAGATTGCCAAGGCCCTGAATATCCACAGGGTTACTGTGTACAAGGTCCTCAACAAATTAAAGGCCACAGGCAGTGTCAAGAGGAAGCCTGGAAGTGGAAGGCCACGTTCAGCAAGGACTCCAGCGATGATCAGATCGATTAAGGGAAAAATCCAGCGCAACCCCATCCGGTCCATGAGAAGGATGGCCAAGGAAATGAATGTGAGCGAGAGGACAGTCAGTAGGATTGTCAAAGAGGATTTGGGAGCCAAGTGAAGGGCCAGGGGTAAGAGGCAGCTCTTAAATGAGACCTCCAAGGCTAAGAGAGTAGCAAGAAGCCAGAAGCTCCTCCAGATCTTCAAAAAGAGAAAACCAGTGATTTTCTTCACAGATGAGAAGCTCTTTTGCATCGACCGTGCCTCCAACAACCACCATGACCACTACATCAGCAATCAGAGGCCTGAGGATGTCCCTGAGCACATCAGGTTCACCTTCAAAACCAAGCATCTGGCCTTTGTGATGGTCTTTGGGCTTGTGGCCTCAGATGGTAGGAAAATGCCCCCGGTCTTCATTGAACAGGGCCTCAAGGTCGACACTAAAGTGTACATTGACATCCTGGAAAAGTCTGTCAAACCTTGGATCAAGTCCAACTACCCTCTGGACACCAACTATATCTTCCAGCAGGACAGGGCCCCTGCCCACACTGCGAAGAAGACCCAGAAGTGGCTAGAGGACAACCTTGTGTCCTTCTGGGACAAGGATATGTGGCTCCCCAGATCTTAATCCCCTGGACTACAGCGAGTGGGCGTTTGTAGAGGAGGCTGCCTGCAACAAACCCCATTCATCTGTGACAGCCCTGAAGTCCTCCATCACGACGGCCTGGTCCAACATGAAGGAGGACTACATCATCAAGACATGCTCAGTCTTCAGAGGCCGTTTGGAGGCTGTAATATCAGGGCTGATGGGGCCCATATTGAGTAAATCTATAACAGTCTACAATTTAGTTGATAAATATTAATTTATTTAAAAAACACTTTAGAGAGGAACAATATCAAGAACTACTCCATATAGGTCTATACTCACATCGGTAAAAAAACGGCGTATGACATATTACTGATAAAAATTCAAAAAAATTCAACATTAAAAAAAAACACGGCAAAAAATTGTTTTCTGGGACCATGCGTCCTGATGGCAGGACGCATTTTTTGACAAAAAAAAATGCGCGTGGTCCCACACGGCGGACAAGCAAAAATAGGCTGGTCGTCAACGTGTTAACTGATTGACTTGTAACTATAATGGAACATTGCCTAATATAATTTTTAAAAGCTCTTAAAATTTAAAAATGTACCTACGATCACCTATGCTTGAGTTATGGCAGATTTTGTCAAAATGGCAAAAATTATGAGTGAACAAGCATGTGATTTGCAAGACAAGAGTTCATATATGATTTTGGCTTAAATAAATCAGTTCCTATCAATGGATCATAGTGAAAACTCAACTGGACATTGTCAGATGTATATTTTTGTCATAAAAAAATTTCATGCACAGGCATGAAATATCCAGGCATTCCCATGCAAATGCTATTAAATTTTCCAGCGTGAACACCTAGGCATACAAAAAAAAGTACATATCTCACACCAAACAATGAGGCAGAACAATAGATTATGTTATAATTTTTCAACAGATAACATAGAGGTCACATCTGGTAACAAATAATGCTATTGACTTATCCTGTGACATCATAAGACAACAATAGATAAGATTTTAAATGTTTTTGGGCATGCACATGCATGAAATTTACAGTTGGCAAAAAACACATCCTATGTATGTCCTGTTAGGTCTTCACAATGATCCATCCAGAGAAACTGATTTTTTAAGTAAGAATCATATGCAAATTCTTCCTTTACAAATTGCATGCCTGCTCACTCCAAATTTTGACCATTTTGACAAAATCTGTCATGACTCAAGCATGGGCATAGACAAATGAAATTTTAAGAGCTCTTGAAAAACATATTGGGCAACATTCCATTACATTTTCAAGTCAATCTGTTAAAAAAATATGGATTTTATAGCAACATTTCAAGTAGCTTACTTTTTTCAGCAAACCCTGTAGATACTTTTGGCAAGCAAGGATCTAAATTATACAAGCTATACCAATGCTGCAGAATGTTCATGAAATTCTGTAAATAATAACAGTATAGATCTGTATGCAAGTGTGCAATACTTTTCCATGGTGACGATCAGGAACCAGCAATTTGATTGTTATGTCTATGTTCTTGTTTAGAAATTTTGCCATACTTGCCCATTTACCACATATTGCACTTCAAAGACTTAAAGCATAAGGTGTAAATTCCTGGTGAAAATCACTCTAATAGGAGAGGACACCCCATCCACTTACAGCATATGATGATGGAGCAGAGGAGGACAACAAAGGCACCAAGGAAAAGTCCAACTTTAAATGTAATCCAGGGACTTTGGTGTTCACCCAAGGGTGGAACTCTCAGCCGCTTCATGGCACGACCTCGATTTCCCCCTTCCAGCTCCTGGATCACCAGTGACTCCGTCTCTGAAATCATCTTGTTGATATCTCGATTGGTGTGGAAGTGTGACGGCTCCACATGCTCCATGCGCCATCGGGCACCAGCATCCGTCTTCAGAAGCTACATATATCAGTTATGAAACTGCCTTTTAATTAAATTAATTGATCAAACATGTAGTAGACATAGGTTCCAGGTGAAACAGGTCAAAGGGAATTGTTGAATGAATGCTCACAGAGCTGAAAAACCCAGTAGGAAAACTGAAACATCTAAAACTGGAATATCTAATAATTGAACTGATTAATTTTACTTGTAAATAAAGCATTCTTAAGTAACAAGGAATTATAACATGCAGAAAAGCAGGAAATCATGAAACATACTGTCAATCTTGCTTAAAGATTCATTCCAGTCTCAGCTTTCATGTCCATTCAACTACTAAGGAATCCATACACAAGAATGAAGTATCTGAATGTTTTATTTTTTAAAGATCATTGCAAGGATTCTAAATATTGTGCAAAAGTGTTCTGACTAGCAATATTTTACCATTTTGTACCAGAAATCACCCAATCAATGAGCATTAATGACTCTTCTCTTGTCAATATTAGAATAAAATGATCAATAGTAATTGCTAGTAATTGCTACCATGTACCCTGTATTGCTGTTGAATGTTGAAGTTGCATAAATGTGTCATTTCCTGACAACTGCTCTGCTAGGAGAAGAATCAGGACTCAATCCCAAATCTAATGTAAACCTTTCAGGTCAAGTGAAATCATGATAAGCCTATCCCACAGAGGAGGTTCAAAGACCTATGAATGCATCCTAATACTGGAATCTAGTCCAACTCTCCCTCCCACTTGAACCCCAAGTAGACTTAATTTAATGGCCACAGTTATGTCTTGGGATATGCTATCATAGTTCAGCTTTCAACACTAGGATTCTATTCATCCTTCTTTGGCTTGAACCTCATGGGTAACTTTCAACAAATGTGCATGGCAAAAGTGCCATATATTCTTTTTATATGCATTCCTCTTATACCTCTTTTGGGCTTTAGAAAAGCAGATTGTGCAGAGAATAAAATACTACAAATTTGAAGCAAAATTATTAAAATACAAACAATAAAACTACCAGTTTTATTGTGTATTTACCTATGAAAATGAGAATGGCTCACATGCATTCCTGTTTTCCAACTTATGTTATTTCAGTATTTTGTAGCAGAAACAGTAGTAATTTGGTTATATTACCTTACCTTCTTGCCATGAATGTCCCATCCTAGAGATTTCAGCCATTTTGTCATATAACATTATTGGCTAATTATATTATTATTATTATAATGTTGGCCATCTCTGTGGAAGTAAATAAAGCCAGTAAAAACCAGAAAAGAAGCTTGGTCCCACATTTAACGAAGGGAGAGTCTAGTGCTTGGTGGTCTCACTTATCAAACACTGCAATACTTGCACTTAGATATAAATGTCTGGGTTCCTTGGTATTGAACTGCTCAAAGAGCCTATCTCACTACCAAATAAGCCATTTTTCCTATATCCTCTCCACCTGTCAACCTCAAATATATGGCAAGAAAGTTAACACACTTCATCATTTCCATACAAAATACTTATTTGTGCCAAGAGTCAGATGGATTCAGCTGAGCTATCATGCAACAGTTTGTGCAATTCACATTCATTTGCCTAATGACCTGTATTGCCTCATAACCTTCCTATGAATATGAGCACAATCACTTCAGTGTAAGGAAAACACTTTTGAAAAGGACCTGTAGTGTAAATCATACAGTAACCAGGAGATTGCATGCATACAATACATGGAAAGTAAACAAAGATGGCCCATCCTTTAAAGTCATGCATATTCAAACAACAACATGGAGTGAAGTGCTGAAGCAACATGGTGAAATGTGCACAAATTGGCAGTTTGCTTACCAAATGCTGATATGCTTTCAAAACAGCTGCAAAAATGTGTGCCATGAGCAATGGCCCAGGAGGCCAATTGATGCAGCAACACACATTCCCTGGGTGTTTTAAAAGATTTCCACCTACTTTTAAATATTCTGCCTATTGTAACTCTGTAATATAGTCATGGCCTAAATGGGGGGCTATCATTTGCTGTTAGTTGCAATGAAGTTTACATTGAAGATCTAGAAGCAGTATGGTTCTACTGAACTTAGCCTCAGGAAGGTGGCTACAGTCCACTGTTCTAGAAAAGAAGCTATACTTGTTAGGGGCTATTACTATAAGGATATAGGTGACAGCACACTGTTGGAAGCCTCAATATATGGTTAGTATTAGCAAACATTCTGTAAAAGATAGAATGACTAATATGGTATTGTGATCTGTGAGCCTTCCAGTGCATGAAAACTAAATAGATCAGTGAAATTTTCTTCAATGATTATTTGCAGTTAAATCACCTTGTCATGCTTCTTGAGGATCTTCCGAAAACCAGTGGAGTTCAGAGTCTGATAATTTTGCATAAGAACAAGACTCAAATAGAATTCACTGAAGGCAAGTTTTAGGTCAGTAGTCTTTCTTGTGGTTTGGGTGCGGGAGAAAAACGTGGACAACTTGGTTGAACTCCTTCTCTCCTCCTGCTGTGCTCGAGTGGCTGCAGCAAGTTCACTCTTCAAAGATGAGAACCTTCTTGTTGCCTCAGCAAGTTTTTCTGAAAGGAAAAAACATTGGGGAATGCACCAGTAAAAGTCTCAGACAAACAGACATACATATTACAACCACAACTCAATGGAAAATTGTGATAAAAATTTCTTGTATCAAAACCACACTGAACCAAAAAAAAAAAAACAAAATGGCATGGCATACTAGAAAAATTTTTGGATATGAGATCCTACCTGAAAAGAAGGTATTGATTTTCAGCAACTCCTTGTCACAAATATGGAAGAACTTCTCATCAAACTTCCCAAAGTATTGGCAGATGGCATCCTCATCCTCTACTTCAGCTGAAGGTGCTTGCTCCAATGCTGAATAGAGAGTTGCTTTCATTTCCTATATACAAGATAAGGCAAGAACATATCCATACCATTGAATTAGTCATGCTGACAATTCATGCAATCTCAAATTAAGGAAAATCCAGACTCAAGAATAAAAATCTCACCTCATATGAAATGTACTGCTTCCTCCATTCTGGAGTTATGTGTGCAGCAAGATGTTCAGCAAACTTCATGGTTCTTGCTTAGCAATAAAAAATATTCTAACTGGTCTCTTCAATTCACAGGTGGTGAATCTCCACTAACATCGATGATCATAACTTAGTGTCTTAGAACACAAAACCTGGTGAAACAGCATAAAGACATTTAGTCTGCTATCTTATTAAGTCTCTAAGAATGTCAGGCTCACTGAAAAATATATAATACATATAGATAGAAAAGGTAATCAGACTCATTATTCAACTTTGCAATTCAGTCACAGATTCAAGAGGACATAATGGAGCATGAGCACCATGTAGAGACCCACTAAAAAGGCATCCACTCCTCCAGTCTCCAAGTTTCTATTGAAATATAAGGATGACTTATCCAGCAACTACAGGATGGGTAAAAAAAAAAAACAAAGTTATATTTTTTGATAAGTTGTCAATTTGATTGTAGGTAGCCAATTTTGATCAAATTTGGTAGACACATAGGGTGACTAATTTAGGGTTTGTGTGCCAAGTTTCAAATAAATATTTAAAAAAAAGTGATATTGGCATTTAATTTACACTTCATCACCAAAAAAGTAAGTGGACATTTTTTTTTTCTGTTTAAAATCTTTCCCAACCGACAAAATCAAACAAGCAAATGAACAGAACAAAAACAAATGCACAAATGCCAAACACAAAAGCCCACAATTTGGTTTAGGGATGTTCATTTCAACTGAAAGGTGCTCAATGTGCCCTCAATTCTATTGAACACTAGCCTCTAGTCTAGGACACCAGAGATCAATGGCTCAATCAAAAAATCTTTGAGGCAGTGCCTCTCAATCTTCCATCATGCAGGGATGGAAGTTCATGAATTTGGACCTCCCTTTCATCCCAGCCTCAAGTTCATATCGATATTTTCGACAGCACATTTTGCCATTGGTCATCAGAAAATAATTACAGCTCTAATAATTTTAGAGCCAGAAAGCTGAAATTTGGTATACAAACATCAATTGTGTCACCCTATAAGTCTCCCAATTTTAATTCAAATTGGGAGCCTGCAAAGAGATTGACGACTCACCAAAAATGACAGCTTTGTTTTTTTTTTTTTGGCCCATCCTGTATATCTCCATATGTCTTCTATCATACTGCTCAAGAAAGGACATTTCTCCTTCACCTCATATGGGAGTATGAGAGGAGATCTCAATATGACAACAAAATTTCAAGCCATGAGGTATCAAAAACCATCCTGAAAAACTCATGCAGGATAATATTTATTTTCTTTCTAAAGAAAAATGAAAAGGGAAGACAACAATCACAGTCACAGGTTTGATGCTTTTAAATCATGTATACTTTTGAGACAGGCTTCTGCTTCTTGTGTTGCATCTTCATCCTTATTCTTATGTGCATGCCCTAATGCTGCTTTGCAGCTTTTTTCAGCCTCAATTATGAGACCCTTCTGAATCAAAAGCACACCTAGATTCACTTGAAAGGATGCAAGTTCAGGAGCTTTCAATTGTTCTGCTAGTCTCACAGCATCTTCCAAAACCTTGAGAGCTTCCTCCAGTTTTTCCTGGAGACTTAGAGTTATCCCAATGTCATTCAGTAGGACTAAACACTGTGAGGAGCCATCTCCATTGGCCTCAAGGCATATCCTATATGCTGCCCGAAACATAGACTCAGCCATTGCATACTTCTTCCTTGTAAGAAGAAGCCTTGCATAACCATCACAGCTCTTAGCATATAAATATAAGGTATCATTGTCTCTTCCAACCACACCAGCTGCATTACACTTTTGTTCCTGGCTCTCAACACAGAACTTATATCCTGCCTCAGCCTTTTCCATGTCTCCTTTCTTTTGATAAATTTTTGAAAGTTTGAGGCTCATATCAACAATTGCATTATCATCTTGAGCAACACCTTTTGAAACCAGTCTCCTCATGACATTCACAAAGAGTTTCTCAGCTTTTTCTAATTCTCCAGCTTCCATGGCTAAATTTGCAAGCATGTCATAAATGAAAGTTACACCATCATAATGCTGTATATCCTGTGCCATCTTCAAGGCAGCATGAAAGATTCTCTCTGACTTCTTGAAATTCCCCTTCTGAAAAAAAATTGAATTTCATGAATCCACCTTGCGAACAAGAAACATTTTATCATTCCAGATATCTGATTTAAGCAGCAATTGACCAGTTGGACAAGCTTATTTCAAGTCCAAGAAGTAAGGCTCATCATTACATAGTGTATTCTTCCAGCAATATATGCAATTAGGAATTTTTACAATATAATGATGGCAATGCTGAAGAAATAAAACTGGAAGGGAGGGGTGAGAACAGTGGGCATGCTGAGGGTGAATATAATAAAGTCCACTAAAAAATTTTTTCTTGTGACTCATCACATGACAACCAGTGTTTAAACAACTTAAAATTTGTCAAACTTGTGATTGGTCTGCAAAGTTTGTTCTTAGACCAAACACAATTAACAACAATCAGCCTGTATCTTCCCCATTTGTATGCAACTATTACCTCAAGGTATGCAAGATTGCTTGATTTATTTCTTTTTATACAAGGAAAGTCAAGGAAAGGAAGAAACTGCATGTCCATGTGATCTCTTTTTGAAAGTAGGTTTCCTGAATTAATTGCATCATTTTACAATCTATTGAGTCATGCAATGGAACCAGAAAGACCTAAAAAAATATATATAAGAATCAGCCCTGAAATGTCTTTTATGCTGAACGGTTAAAAACAACAACAATAGCAAAAACCTCTAGTATCAACAAAATTTTAAAAGGAGGGTCAGCAACATCAAAATGATATGAAGGTGGTGGAATCTTCAGTATTTCCTCATTGGTTCTATAAACTGCTTGACAAATCAATCTCTGAAAGACCCTAGGACACTGGGCTACTGAGAGAGCAACCTGAGATTCTATCAAAAGAAGAACCCATGATATTATGAGGTGGAATCACTTCTGGAATCCTATTGATTCCTTTGCAAATCATAGGCTGAAATAGACATTCTTAAAAGCTGTCATCCTATTCATGAACAAGTGGGTAAAATTGGGTCATCTGCCACAGATGTAGTTGATTACAACAGGCTAAGCCTAAAATTTGAAACCTAACCAAAAGTTACCCCTTTCTAGGGATTTGATCAGTCAAATGAGTGGCCAATATATATTCACTCATGGGTAGTATGGCAAACTATAATGTGGTTTTTTCCTCCACTGTTATGAATTCTACTTGAATGTCATGACTCACTAGTTACAAATAAATTTCTCTTTGGAGACAGACTTTAGCAAACAGGTTATGCACATTGAGACCCTGGCACAATAATTAGTAATATTTAAAAAAATCAAATTTTTCATATATCATGATGGGAAATCATTGGAACCATTCAGCCATTCATTAGGGGAAGGTACCAATTAAAACTGAATACAGTCAGGAGGAGTAGTTGAAGTAGTTGACAGTTCCATAAGCAACATGACTAGTGAGGAATTCAGGTTTTCAAATTGATAGCTAGAGTTCTTCAATATTCAGGAGAAAGCATTTACTCCCACCTAGGCATTGGTATGCAATGTTCAATTTAGACCTTTAGCAGGAATTATGCCTCAAATGTCTAAAGTTAAACTATACATTCTCAAGCTGTAACTCATGTTCTGATTTGAATGAATGAAAAAAAGGGTCAATAATGGTCAATTGATCCAGTCCTAGTCAGATTGACCATCCCATTCCAACCTCTAAACCAGTGAGATATACATATACTGTACTGGTTACCACACATTTCTAGTTACAATACTGGACACTTGTTTACACTTGGTAAAATGAATGTCAAACAGTCATATATAACTTGCCTGCATTTCTAAGACTCCAAGCTTGATGGATTTTACAAGTTTATCTTCCTCTGACTCTTCTTTCTCTTCACTCTGGAAGAAACTGAATAGTGCACCAACCAATACAGGAACTTTCAACTGAGAAAATGAACCATTTGTTTTCTCTGGGAAGTGACACAAATTCTTGATCATAGTCCATTCTACAATAATAGGCCTGTGACTTTTCCAAAGGACAGTCTTCAACCCCTGAAAAAGAAGCACTGACTGCAATGGAGGAGCATGACTGATGTATGCTTTTGCCCTTAAGAATGATTGAAACAAGCACGACATCATTTTGATGTGTGTTTAATTATCTTCTCTCTGAGCTCATCAATATGAGTGGCAATGAACTTCTTATCAACCCCTTTGGGAGGAACCCTCATCAATAGCATAGCATTCCAATTTGCACCTCTTGCTCCGTTAAAATCTTTTAGAACACTGTCACCAACATGCAGAGATTCCTCTGGATAGATTCTTTCTCTGCAGAGGGTAAGAGCCTTGTCAAATATATTCTTCTGTGGCTTCACAAAGCCACAAGAATATGAATCCAAAACAAAGTCAAAATATTTGGATATACCACAGGAATCAAGTATACCAGATAGTCTTGGGTCAAAGTTTGAGATAACTCCCAAATATGTGTGAGACTTCAGTTCTTTCAACAGTTCAGGAAATCCATTCCTCACTGCCCATTCAGAATCTCCTGAGTAATGCTTCACAAGGGTCTCTGCTGCTCTCTGCAAGTTTATGTGATCTTCTTGAGCTCCTGCAGCAATCAGTGTTCTTTTGACTACTTCATTCCACCATTGTTTCCAAGATATGTCACTCTGAGAGCCAAAGTTGGGATACTCCAGATCCAAGGACTTGTATACCTGAGGAAATGATTCCTTTATCTTCTCAATTTCCACACATATCCCAAATGCAGTGGCCACTTCAAAATATACTTGAGGAACTTCACGTCGAAATTGTAAAATGGTATTTGTCACATCAAAAGTGACCAGCTTCAGTATTCTCATTTAATGTCTCTTTCCCTGACAAACACAGAAATGTAAGGAATGATACTAATGACTATTTCATTACATACAACCCTCAGAGAAAGATCATATATGGCATTCACATTTATATATATGTGCCTTATACAGGGTGCTTCTTATAAAACAGCACAGGGAACAACCAACCACTAACCAGTGAAGCCAAGCATATGGCACAAGGTTTACCTAGCTGCATAGCATCAAGGAGACCCACAATCACATCAGAAAGGCCAATGCAGGTTGACTGCAAAGAGATGCAGCAAAGCTGCATTGCAACAGTCTGCAAGGCTCACAGTCATTTATTGACGGCATCCATATGCAAAGCATATTGCATACTGATCAAAGAGTGACATGGGAAATTCAACAAATTTATTTTGAATTCGGGAGTTCATGGTTCTTAACTACTGCGTTATTATGAAGTGAGAGGAGGAAAAGTACTTAATATGAATGGATACACTCAATTAATTTATTTTTAGAGGAGAGGATTTATGAATCTAATTTTTTTTTAATTACCACTGAAGACAAGGAGTACTTAATAAATACAAGAGCATATCTCCTGAGCTGTTCATGTCCTTCTCAGACTGCTGGAAAATCAACTTAAGAAAACTGGGCATGGAATTCAGACCATGCACCTATCCAGTGATAATGGTGACAATGTCCTTGAAGGAAGTAAATATATGCCAAATAATGATACTCATGTATTTAGCACTATTAGCAGTTATTCCATATCAAGAGGTAAGACTTAGGCCATTGCCATTGAAAAATTTGTGATTTCTTTTAACACAGAAATAAAAATGCAAGGAGGTGAAATAAAGAGGAAAATTATCATAAATACATATGCCATTGATGTCTTCCATAAAAAATATCTTCCATTTGCAAGCGTATTTCACTTTTGGAAATTCAATGAGAATGATTGCTTGTATTACTTACCACATAGGTCAATCATAAAAAACAACTTAGGTCATATGGGTCACTCTATCTTCTAAATCTGCAAGTACTACATAACAGGGGTCTTTTAGCATTTTGTAATTTGCTTTTTGTCATTATCAAATGACTTTACATCAGCAGCAAGAACATGTGCATTAAGGGCCACTGCAAAGGCATGACTGGATTTAATTTGTCTAATTCTATTGCAAAAATGACTGTGATCAAATGCAAGGGTCCAAAATACCTTCAGTGCAACTGATTGCAATGAAGCATTATGGTCACAGTGATTGCAACACAACTCCTTGCAGTCAGTATACATAGGATAATTAAAAAAATAAAGATTAGTTGTTCTCAGTTACTGGAATGAACCTGGACAAGCTCCATGGGCAGCTGGCTGGATTTTCCCCATGTTGTACTCAGATGTGTAACACCTCATATATAGAGAAGTCCCTTCTAGGGTATTTGTCACTGGTGTGGGTAGCTTCAAATGGTCATACAATACATCAATTGGGATAATTTAAGGGATTTTCATCCCATAGGGTCAAAAAGACCCCAGACAGCAAGGGAGTATTAACCTGTTCACCAAGTTTTTCCATCATGCACCTTATAGTCTGTGCACACCAGCATTAAACATTATTAAATGATTTTTTAATCATCCCATATTTATAAATTTGCCACACATTGGCATGAGTCTACATGTAGTTGAAAAATATGTATAAAATAAAATGAACTGAAACTTTCCAGCTATAATAAAAGAAAATATATATCAGCATTGGAAAATGAATCAGAAACCTGTGCATCCCACTTACATAGATGACATGTTTGGACAAGCTGGCAGGCATAAGCAAATTTTTAGACAACAATATATAGCATATAATCAGACAACAGTATGCAATGTGGATAGTGTCCTGTCATTAAAGACTCCCATTTTCTCTCTACACTAAATTCAGATGAATTCCATGGTATATCATTCAAATGTAATGCATCATCCCAATTTTTATTACTAGGAATCAGAAGGAATCAGAAAAAGAGATGCTTCCTCTTAAAATAGCAAGTAGCGGAGTTCATAAAGTGCTTGGCCCAGGTCTATGCCATCAAGTTGGGTATAAGTATGATCAAAACTTGGAGAAGTCAAAAGACAATTCTTGTCCTTTTCTTGAGTGTGAAAGTGACAGGCCAGTTGCTAATGAGTCATATGCCAATGGATCATTCCATCCCAATCCACCCAAATCGAAAAAAAAAACTTTCATTGAACAACTCTAATACTTAATTTTTGTGATAGTTATTTTAAAAGGAGTCACATTGCCTTTTTTCTTAACTTTTAAGATGTTATGGGAGGTAGAAGTATTTCAATTCCGAGGGTGGTGTTTCTTCTTCCAAAAACACTTGGAAGACAAAAACATGAAAAGGTTGCAATGGTACCACTTTATAGTCTCTTTCATTTTCAAAAGGAAAACATGGAAATTCTGGACATTTATTTTATACCCAGATAGAGTAATGGGTTCCCCAAAGACTAAACTCAAGATAAAAGCTTTAAAAAAATTCATTAGCTACTTTAAATGTCTGGTTTCTAAAATTGCATTGATACCATTATCACTGGCAGCATGCTTTCCATCTCTCATAGAAGCAGGTGTGCAAAAATACCTGTAACAAATACTTAACACTTGAAAAATTCCGCATCTGCATTGAAGAAGGGAATATTTCCTCAGTGGGTGAATTGAGATGGAAGGCGCAGGCAGGATCAGATGTTGCGGCCTAACGCTATTTATTGTCGGCGAACTCGATTAAAAAGAAATAGGCCTGGATCAATGAAGTCATTCCCAATCCAGTGTAAAGGCAAGACGGTCTGTTAAGTCTGACGAATGCGTGAAACTGGCAACTAATTAACAAATTTTGAACAGGCCAGTGATCAGTGTGCAACATTGGAAATACATATAGAAATCACGCTACGCTGTATGCAGGAGCCTGAAGGGGAGCGCCATCACTGTCAGCAGTGGCTAAGTGTCATGGGTGCGTTCTTATCGCGGTCTTCTTAACATTAACGGGAGGATTTGGCCTCCACTGAATCACGCCAAAATATTAATGGTAATGTAGTTCAAAGTGAATTCGAATCGGCTTGGCACATTTTCGAGTTACTTGTGCAATTACACGATTTATCTCACTAACTTGACCAAAAATTTGCCAGGACTTTCTTATTCATCGGGGGAAAAAACGATTGTTTATCAGCTGCTAGCTTATTCTTTTTCTTTACCGACACCACAGGCAGAAGAGTAACAATCTAAAGTAAAAGCCTGCATTGAAGCAACATATCAAGATACTAACCACAATTTATTGCAATTGAAAAACAAAATTTTGGCTTTAGAGTAACATTACATCAATAGGGGAATATGATTCTATCTGATCAGGCTTAAATAACTCTCTTGAACGCACTTTCAAAACTCATCTAATACATAGTGCTTGATTAGAAAGGCAAAATAATAAAACTAAAGCTCTAAGCAATAATAAGCCAACCCTGATGGCCCATGGCAGACCAAAGGTTCTCCAGGGAACCCAGTAAGTGGTAATCTGTCCATCTCCTTTTTTCTCTGTGCCTCATATGTCTTTTCTTCTCCCGTGATCTGGATTGTATCAATCAGAAGTGAGACTTGGTTCGCTAAGTGAATAAAAAAAAATTGTTAATTTGAGTTCTCTGAACACAGCATATTCTGTATTATGCAGATTAAGTTCAATTGGAGGTATGCTATTATACCTAATGCTTTGTTTTGTTTTGCAGTTAATAGCTTAGATTGCCATGGCTTCAAAGCCCTCTGTTCAAGTTCAGAATAAGTCTGAAGAGGAGCATCATGTCCAATTCAATGATGATGCCTTTCACACAGATGATCTGAAGATTATCAAATCCACTGCTAGCAAGTTTGTCCTTCACATAGGATTTTTGAAGCTACAACATCGCTATGAAATGAAGTTCGAATTCCCAGACCTTGAACTTTCAGAACAGCTAGAACAGGACCCCAGTCAATATGCACGCCTTCTATCTGTACAAAAGAAACCTGATAACAGTGCTGAGATGATCTTTGAGTATTTCGCTCACAAAGAAGGCCTAAATCGGGATGCTATATGCCTCCGGGACCCCAGCCACCCAGATATTGGTGCAATTCACATAGAATTTCATTCCAGAGTCCTCAGTAAGTTTACCTATTTGTTATCTTGAACTTTGATCTTTTCAAATGTGACAAAATTGCATTATGGGGCTAAAATAGTGTATCTAAATAAGTTTGACACCTTTCATAGGTCACAAGAAGGGGACTCCCATGTTGAAGAATGGCATTCGCTGCATTGCCAATGAGAGAGAGGAAGAGTCAGAGGCATCTGATTGGCCAGGTTTTGAACACTGAATTGAGAATGGAGTGACTTCAGACTTGCCAGTGGCTGAAGCATCTGCCTTATTACCCATAGCCCTACATTCTCTTAGGTATAGCTTACCAAACCTTGTCAGCATGCTGTTGTGCTGGTGACTGTGGCAATTGTCACTTGGTTGGTTCATCCTTGCTCAATTTACACCTTACATTTATCATAGATCACCCATAGAAATGGTGCACGTTTATAGATGAGAATGTCCTCTGATTTAAAAAAAATGCTTTTGTTGAAATAACAATGTGATTGAAATACCACCTTCTATAATCGATCTTCAAACAGGAGTTTCAGATGTGATGATCATTCTTGAGTACAGTGAGACTAAGACTTCAGGATTCATTGGTATTGAAAATCTCTTTATTCCTTCATGCCATTTAGCCCCATTCCATTTTATGCTTTCTGAAATCAGGATCAACTTTGTCTTGATGCATTTAATTCCATGGGCTCTGAAATTTTGGTAAGCTCATTTTTCAAGTCATGGCACTTTGTAGCCAAAGTATCTCTTGCAGGTTTATTACACAGTTTAAATTGCATTTATACTGAGTAGTGGCTTTTCTTCCTTATTTGACAATTCTTCATACCTTTCAACCTTCATACCCTTGCTATTATACCAGTTATATCTACTAACTTGCAGCACATAAATACACCATTTGTGATACCACAAATGGAGGGTGTATTTATGTACTTTTATCATACTTTTCTTGTTTTGTACTGCATGTTTGCATGCTGGATCCTCTCCTTCTGACACCTGAAATGAGCTCATTTCAAGTCAAAATTCATCCTAAAAGTCCTATTTAAATCTTATTTTGAGGAAAACTGCCTTATTCTCATTGTGCTCGCCATTACATAATAGCATTTTCCACAGGGATTTTCTGAACCTCATATCTGAATAATTCTGAGTTGTAGGATTTTTAGAGACAATATAAATTAACAAGCAGAATATTGATTGGGCACGAGTGATTTGAGTGGTTCTTGTTCATGGCAGTGTCACTCTCAGCATTTCTCTGCTTACAATTCTCATTTCAATAAAATATTAGAATATATTCTTTAAATTGGATTTGGCTTTTTTATTATACAACTATTGTCTTTATAATTAAAGTAGGGGGGCAGGAAATCTGCAGAACCTTCCTAGCTTTGCACTGTACTGAGTATTGAAACCACACACCTACTGCAACTATGAACTATGTGCACACAAGTAAGCATGGTATCTGTAATAGGAAAAGTTTGCATTCCTCTTTTGCCATGTATGCAAATTCTAAAGTTGCTCTGAAACTGCTGTTGAATAATCCATTCTTATGGAGCCCAACCCTCATTGAGAATGAAGAAAATACTGAAATAGAGCCTAGAGATAAGTTTGTGAGTCCAGGAATCCATCTCAAAGATCCTAAAGAGAAATGTAATTACAAGGTCCCCATTCTTCAGCTCAGTATTTGATATGATATTCATTTCCTTTGCTGTGCTGCAGCAACTGAATAATCTGGAGATAATATTCCATCCTGTTGAGGTCCATCATGATAGTCCAAGAGGAATCAATTAGCTTTGGTTTTATCACATATCATGTACTTCTTCAAGTCTGTGTTGGCAATAGGCTTCCTTCTGCCTCCATCTTTATTTCTGTGATGAGGGAAAAATGAACAGTCCCAAGCCAGTTCAAGTGATTTTCTTTGCCAACAGTGCAAGCATAGCAGGGAACTCTCCTCATAATGTGATCCTTGAGGTACTTGTGATCTCACACATGATGGTAGTGAAATGTAGGTTGTTTTTTCCTGTTAAGTCTTTGGTTGCATTACCAGATGCCCTTCTCACGCAGCCCATTGGATATCTGGCATTAGGCTTTGTTATTAATAAAAAATGATATTCCTTCCATTTTAGAGCTACAGTAGACAAAGCCATACCAGAAACAGACCTGTCCCCATACTGGTGTTATATTCTTGGAATGTTCTTTTGATGTGGTCTTTTTGAAATCCAAGAGCTTGATTGTTGTGGATGTTTTGATGAATTACTTAATAAGAACAATAAAAACCCAGAAACCATGCAGTTACTACCAATCATGAACCTGAAGATCTTTGCTGATGCTGTTACCTGTCATGTTCCTTCCAATGAACACTATTGATTTTTTTTACATGGATTGCTATTTTTTTGTCATGAATTCAGGTTTGTTCATACTTGCCATCTGCTCACTTTTTGATGATAAACAGCTGTCATTTTCAGATTTTTAATAAAGGAAGCAATCATGCAACCTTCTACTATTATTCCTTTTCTCTGATTGTCCTCCAATTAGAGGTATGAGTAGCTTGGGTGTTATCACAAAGCAGCATTCACTCCTGAGAAACCCAGAGATAAGTACGTTAATGGAAAATTGCATTTTGCAACAATCCCAGAATCTCACTGTACATCTCCAAATTCATTATTTTTCTATCTGGAAAGAATTTGTGATGAACCAACCTGCAAAAGTTGAATACCACCATCACCACTTCTCCATTGACCTGTCAATTTTGGGGTTTTAAAATAGAAGTGAAGACATTGACTTCCTTCCTGCTGATTGACACTGGCTGCAGGTCATCAAAAAAAACTTCTCATCCCCAGTGATGACCTGCAGAATCAATGTGATGACCACATACTATCATCTGATGCTGCCTCTGATCTGCTGTCAAAAGTTGTGGCACAATGTGTTGACACATGCTATGCATTTTCAGATCCTCTTTGTAGCAGGTTAGAAACTATGTCATTAACATTTCTACCAAGTGTCTTTGCAATCAGACTGAAAACCAGTCTCTGAGAGAACTTTTTCAAGTTTTTGAAGCTACTAGTATGCATCAAAATGAGTCTGATATAATAATGGTGTCTCTCCGTCTGGGGATGGCTAATACAATAAGAAAAAGTTGTATGCAAAAATTTGCACCTGAGGTGTCCATCTGAGGGCCTCATTATCTCTGATAACTTATATGGCTAAACCACTCACTGGATAAATACTCATTGGTTCATTGGTAATTAGCTCATGAAAACAATCTGTTAGAGAAAACCAGCCCAAATGATGAATTTAAATGGAAGAGAAGTTCATTGTGCCCTAATGACCAGGAAGGACAGCACATGAGTGTTCTCTCCACTCCACTACCAACAGGAGCTCTTGTCCATTCTCAATGTCTAACTTCTTTTCAATGACTGCTTTGGCCTTGTCATTTGCACAGTGAGGTGAGTCCCATATTTGAGAGGGTGTAGGCATAATAGGAATTTCTCAGTTCTTTTCAAATTCCATGTTATCCAGGGTAGATTAAAACTGACAGAAGTTGATTTTTTTTTACATCCTGAGCAACCCTTCAAATATTCTTTTCATAAACACAAGTATGCACAAATTCTGCTTCACTATATTTCAGGCATCAAGTTGTTCACCATAGAAGAGGAAATCATTGCATTAGAGACAGCTTGTGAGAAGTTACTCTTGAGCAGAACTGTTCTTGGGGCACAGTATATACACTAGGTCATCCCTTCAAGCTAAGAATAACTCTAAGCTTTTGCTCTGTCTCAAAGCAAGGACTCAAAAATTGTCAGTCTCCAGGAGTACCAGTGAAAATAGCAAGGTAAGTGAAAATGTATAAATCTTGGACATAAGCTTATACTAGGAGACCTAGCCTTAGGCTACTTTCCTTCCCAAACATGTTAAGTGGTGAGTAGGGTTTGAGCAAGATAATTCAGAGAAAATAAGTATCACAATCAACTTCATGCAATTATTTTTGGTCAAAAGAACAAAGCACTTGCTGGGTGGATCAGGCTGACTTACTCTGCACCATCCTGGCACCTTCTCTCAGATCTTAATCAACTAGGGCAGGGATACACAGCATATGGCCCACAAGGACCTTGCCCCCCATGACTGGTAGCATTATAAGTGTTACTATGGCTTCAGCCCTGTTGGCCATGGCTATGGTCAACCAGACTAGCAGAAAGTGGGTGGTCTGGCAGCCATACAGTCCATGGTATATTAAAATCTCAAATGACCCTCAGTCTTGATGTGAAGAAGGTTTTGGGAAAGTTGAAATCAGGCTTGTATTGCATGTCCAGTGTGGCCAGTCATGTGATCAAAGAACATCATACATCAGTTAAACTAGAGACAGTCTATATCTCTTTTTTTTTTATAGCAATCAGAAATGATGAGGAAGTAAACTGGAAAACATGGGCTGAAAATTTTTTTTCCTTGGGTTGGGTTGGATTGCAAAGTTCAGCTGAGTTTCAAGTTGGGTGCAGGCCAATACTTGATCTGGGCTGATCAGATCAGGTTCCAAAAAGTCAGCCTGTGCAGGGGTCTAACCTGAGTCATGTCTTTATGTCAATAGTTTCCAAGTTATAGGTCTTTGAAGTGAGGTCATCAGGCTGAGACCCAAAAATTTAAGAACACTGTAACTTTTGAACCAATGGTCCAATCTGACTAAAATTTTACACATTATGGTTTTGGGTCATAAATATTATGTGTACCAAATTGAAGCCAAATCTGAAGGAGTACTGCGTTCCATTGGGCAAGTTGACATGGAATGATTCTTCCCTATGTTGATGCCTCTGCTCTTTTCCCAGAGTATTTTAAAATTTATCTATAGGGGCAGAGCCAATCTTCACAGGTAAGTACAGCATAGCTAAAGTCATGCACCAAGGAATAAATTCTTAGTGCCTGATTGCCTGACTACAACTTGTAGCTCATGTGATATTTCATTGAAATGGAAGGTACTCACAGCCTGCCTCAGGCTATTTTAAAAGAATATGTGAATGTAAATATTGGTACTAGATAGAACAGCATTACACTTGACTATCCCAATACTATTGCTCCCCTGGTCATACCACTGATAAGCAACCTTCCTGAAACATAATCCTCACAGACATTTCATGTGAATAGTCCTTGTTCTAATTGAAATTTCAAAGATTCTTTGTATTCAGGCAAGACCTTGAACATAGGCCCATGTCCAGGGATGATATGGTCAGCCATGTTGATAATCTTGAACCTGTTTTCCAGTTGCTTTTGAAGACTCTCACTGCCAGCAGTCTGCCATAATAGTGGATTGCCTATATCATCCTCCCTCTCAAACAAATCACCTGTAAATAACAAAAAGAAGTTGGGCATTGAGGTGACCCGATAAGAGGTCAACTTGATCAGTTCAAACAATGGTATGGGAATGAACTACCAGTAATTGAGATAGCTCACTCTTTAGAGTTGAAGTTGCAAGCATTTTTACATTTGTGATTCAAATGAGTTCTAGGATATATGATAGGGAGGCAGATTGTGTCAATCACAGTCCTATGTCCAATGATTCACAAGAACTGCATTTTATCAGATGGCTATTACATCATACATCCAATTCACAGCCTTTAAGCCACCAGTAATTTTGTTTGCAAATTTGTAAAGGGATAGAGGGGTAGACTGCAATAAATTTTAGCAGCAGTTCATGTGTCAATATGGTACAAGCCTACAGGCTTAATCACCTTGCTTAACACCAAGAAATGGAGAATGGAATCAACCACCCTGTAGATCAGTGGTGTCCAACCCATGGCCTGCAGGCAAAAGGTGGCCCTTGAGGTGCTTACAAGTGGCCTGCAAGGCCCTACCCCACAAAACCCTCAGGTTTCCTTTAAATTTTCTCCTACAATACTAGTGACTGTGGTAGGGAGCTATGTGGCCCCCTAGCCAAAAAGGACAATTTTTTTGCTGGTTGAATTCAGCTGCCAAGTATTTTCTATCACAATTCACCCATCAGGTACAAAACATCAAGGGATTCTTTCATCAACCCAACAGCCATTTAGATTCCATAGGTATAAATGGGTATCTTTCTAGGGTGACATGCTACATTTTTAGGCGAGACTCTGTTTGACTAAAGGGAGAATGCATATAAAAGTGAATACTAACCAGCAATAGCCACCATTCCCAGATCAGGAGTATTCACTGCCACTGTTATGCAACTCAGTGTATGGCCAGGAGTTGGGATGATTGTGACATCCTGGTCAATCACATAGTCCTTGCCAATGTCAAATGGGTGAGTCCAATATTTGTTATTCTCTGAGATGATATGTCCCACAATATGAGTTGCATGTGGGAAAAGGTTGAGATTACCTATGTGATCTGTGTGGCCATGAGTTCCAATGCAATATTGAATATCTTCAGGCTTCAACAGCAGTCTATCTAATCCTGCCAAGAAAAAGTCAATCACATTCATAAACCTAAAAAATGTTTGACATTTTGATGAGCTGAGTTCACATTTATTTCACTGAGATGGTGCTACCTACCTGCCAAGATGATACTGGCATCTGATGGAGACAGTGTATCAACAACCATATTGACATCTCCTTGCACAACTGTGCATGTACAATTGGCAATCATATACTTCTCCTTAGTTTCTTTGGAATATCCTTCTGATATCACACTCACTTTGTAGGGCATTTTTCACCAAAGAAAACCTGTGGACAAAGCTAGGTGCAATTCCTGGAATATCTCAACAGGCTGCTCTGAAGAGGTTCTCACACATAAACATATCAAGAAGGCTAGGAAGGTTGGGGCCCAGTTGAAGGATAGGATTAAAAGAGTAGAGAATATACTGGGTTTGTCACCATCTGAAAAAAAATCACAAATATAGTTGAAGGTTTTTCAACATTTAATTTGAGTCATTTCATTCTCACAATTACTACTAATCATGTCATTAATGCTAGTAATAATACTAACAAAAATGCAGAAGTAATAAAATGCAATGCATAACTTTGTTTATATAATGTGTTTTCCACCTTCTGCCTTTTAAACAAGCTAAAACTAGGACTGTCACGATAGCAGTTTTCAAAATATCAATGCATCAACCTGAACTACTGTTAGTGTATCAATGCATCTGGGAGGGGGGAGTGCACCGGAGGAAACAATCTTTTCTTGCCACTATCGGGCAGAGGTTTGTCTTCCATCATTTCTTGCCTCAATTGGAGCACCTATTACAGCCCTAATTTTTTCTTATTGCCATTGAGAATCAGCTGCCAAGCCCGTTCATATAATTTTTTTTCTCTTTTTCTTCACTCTGCACAGTCTTTGGATGTCAGCACTGGCAGATAGGAAACCTGCCAATGGTGCCATACCAGCAGTTGCTGAAACATCGTTACAGCCCTAGAATAAGCAACATTCATGTAAATAATTCACTTTGAGTTCACCTTAAGTAGAGATGAAATGCCCAGGGCAAGTTAAAAATTGAGAGAGTTAAGCCTGCATACTAAAGAGAAAAACAGGAATATAGCAAGGGGATTAAGCCAGGGGTGTCAAACTCAAATCGGTCGGCGGGCCGCATTCCTTACCCTGCAGATGCCTGCGGGCCGCACCCATAAAATTTCACTTAAATTTGTGCTGACACTCAATCCATGGGGAAAATTTCAGAAGCAGATGGCGGGCCAGATGAACCACCTCTGCGGGCCGTATGTTTGACACCCCTGGATTAAGCAATGCACATTTCAAATTCAGGGGAGTATAAGAACAGTCCATTTACACAGCATGCACCTGATGAGATTGAGCTGAGACTGAAACAGAAGAGAAAAAAAATATTATTGGTCTTCCCCCCCTCTCCTTTCCCACTTCCTGTCTCTAATCCACGTTTTATTTTTCCTTCCCGTCTTTCATATAGTCAGTCCCAGCATCTCCAGAATTTGAATGTGATAAGAAATTGCAAGCCCATGTGGGTCACACCACTTCTTCCTTTCCCTGCCTGGACAGACTGTATTGTACTGTACTTGCCTCAATCCAATGGGGCATTTTCCCTTTGAAATCTTTTGCCAATACATCGCAATGGTTGAAAAAACTATAGATATCTCCAACATCAATAGTGGTATCAATGCATCAATCTATCATGACAGCTGTAGCTAAAACTGATGCAGTGTGCCTTCCATCAGCTTCTGGTAGGACTCTGCAGATGTTTCATCCTATATGGATCCTAGATTGGCCTTGGTGAAACTGAGAGGCAATCACATTGACAGTCTAAACCTTATAAGAGATGTTCAATGGGATTGCAAGTTGGGCATTGCATAGACTATTCCCATAAACAGTATAAATGTTTCTTTCTTCTTTTCCTTCACTGTTGCTACTTTGAGATAATTGGTATAGTTGTATGACAAAATGTCATCACAATATCCAAAAAAGTTGGAAAAGATGGAATGAGAAAAATGCCTGAAGGTGGATGTACTCCTAATAATACCATCTCTTCTACCATTCTGAAAAATAACCAGTTCCCTGCATTGACATGTACCATGAATCATTACTTCCCCCCTCCTCCAAATTATTCAGGATTTGGCAAATCCTGAACATGTAAGAGATAGATCTTGTTTGACTGTCTTCAAACCCAGCCCCCACCGTCATTCTCCCAAAAGATGTGACTCAGCTGAGAAAACCTGAACTTTCAGTCTTCCAGAGTGAATGTCTGATGGAATTTCACCCAGACAAAGTAATCCTCATGATGGCAAGATATCAGAAGCAGGGCATGCATTGGCTGATGGGTATTCAACCATCAGACAATGCATGTCCTGCTTCTTCAACCTTCTCCAAATGGTGCTTTCAGGTATGTTCACACTTGGCAATAACAGGCTATGTCTGACGAATATTGCCCCATGATTTCAGATAGAAAACATGCACACCACTAAATTCTCTGTGGTCAATTTGATCCTTCAACATCCTGACACAGTTCATACATGCCCAATTGCTACCTTCAAAAAATAGGTATGGTCACGTACACCCAAACCTTATGGTATCACAATGCGTTAGGTACATGCAGCGCGACCAATAATGAGGCTGGATTGAGTAAGTTCCATTCTATGCTATTGATAACGTAGGACTGCGTAACGTAGGTCTGACGTTGAGCCAAAAGATTCAGTTAGATGTAATAACGTTTGAGGGTCCAAATCAAGTCAGGCCTATTCGGGCCTAGTCAAGAGTCAGCCCAAATGACGACCTGCTTCCGTTGAGACTAACGACAGAATGTACTTTTCCCTTGATAAGCCAAACAGGCAGCAAATAAATAATGGTTGGCCCAAGTCCATGAAGCAAACTCAGGTGCTAAACAGGCCAATACAAGGCAATATGGCAAGCACGTGGACCTCGTGGATAAGGCCATCTTTCTCAATTTCGCGCGACAACTTGAGGTCCGAACCTTTCGCGCCAAGGCGGGCCCTCTTTTTTTGAGTTCAGGGACCACTAGTTTAGCCGATTTCATATAAATATATGGGTTCAGTTATTATGACACGTTGGCAATAGTAGAGGGTCTTCCGTGCGAATTAACACGTGGGCGTCATTTTAGTACCGAATACCCCGCCCAATGGTGGGTTCAGATTTGCAACATTACTTCATTTCGCACGAGCGGACGGCGGATGGTGAAGAAAAGAGCAGTCCAGTGACGCAAACAGCCCTAAAGTGAGGAGGGGGGGGGAGGGGGGGGGGAGGTTGGGGATGTACTTATGACCTATTTTTCAAATGTCTCCGAATGCAAAAAGGCGTTATCAAATCATCAGAAGAGATATATTCACAACTAAAACGCGAAACGGCGACGAACATGCGAATAAGGAAAATGGAACTAAAAATTATTTTATTGAATTATATCAACGGACTTTGAACCATGCGAATGATAGAAGCACATTCGATACCACCCCAGGCCAGGCGAGTTATTTCTTTATATAATACATCCAATGATCATGAAATTTTAAAATTTTTTATTGAATACCGCTTCAAATTTTTCTACCAACGTTCATGAAGCCTCATTTTAAGAACTTGAAACTTCAATCGAATGCGGTGTAAATAATTGTGAACTTTTCTTTCAATAACATATTTCATCTACATAACTTAAGTAGGTTTTTGCTTTGCAGTGTCACTTTCTAAAGGATCTTATCAAAGCACATGAAAGTCCAGCCTATTTCATAATTAAATTTTGCAGCTACATATTCCGTTCTATTGCATTTCAGATGAAAGTTATGAATAATAATTGCAGAAAACCACTTTTATGTAGATTCCTCCATCACATTCCATCTTGGGGTAAACAAGAATCTTGCGATGTCGTGCGAGCAGAAAAATGTGAGATGTGAGAATCACCTTGCTGAATGCCCACGAGTTTCCCAGTAGAGAAGCTTCAGTCGGAAAAATTTGCCCATTTCATAAACTGGCTGTTACCTCCAATTTGCCGAGAGGTGCACTCAAAGGCACTACCCTACTCGTCCCATTGCAATAAGAGAGAGTAAGGCTGTTTGATCTTAAAAGAGTGTGAATGAACTCCCTTGACTTACACAGAAGTCGTACACTTCCAGCACTAATCAATGGATATTTTAATCCCATGTATAATGGACACTAATTTCATTAAAACAATCAACAAAAAATCATGGGGAACTGTGCATATTTATCCATATTCAATTGTGACATTGCTTCCAATATCGAGCGTAACAACACCAATGAGAAGGGATAGGCAAAAATGGTCTTGTACTTGCTGACCGCTAGGAAATGCAGTCCATTATATTCATATCAATCCACGTTGAGCATCCTGAACGATCCCTCGATGCCAAAGACATCCTCGAAGTTCTTGCTTTTCCCAGGACGGAGTTTCTCGTTGGACTTCTGCTTTGCTCTCTCCATGATCACTTCACGATGGCTCAGGACCTTCTTCATCCAGTAATCTATATACATTGCATTCCCGAGACAATAAAATTCATTTCACAGATCAGGATGAAAAGAGGTTCATAATAACTCAAAAGCCTACTGACCCGTCATGTCTTTGTAGTTTCCATGTGTTCCACCCAGCTCTTCGGGTAGAAGATCTGCGGGGACATTCTGGTGCAAAGATTCCAGTCTACTCCCGTGAATGCTGAGCTGCATGGCCAAAATTAAATTTGATGTTTTTACTTTCAATCACTAATAGACAGTGGTCTCTCCCCTACCCTCGTTCTTACCCTTTGTTTCATCTTCTCCTTCATGAAACCACGAAAGATGCTGAAAATGGTCTCGAAAGAAGGAGGAGTGTGGATGTAATTGAATCCCTTTGGTCTCGTCGGGTATCCATCCTATTAAAAAAATCATGGTCACGTCTTTGAGGCCTAGAGGGGAGGATCAGGAATGGGATAAAATAGAAAGTCATGCCCATTCTACCTGCCAGGTTGTCATTGCCTTTTTGATCAGAGTTGGAGTCATCGCCATGCCGTGAGCCCACGTCGTTCCGGCCATGTCCATCACCCCGATGAAGCCGCAGATTTGAGTCTGCTCGTCCTGGAATAATCGTCAAGAGAAGAGAAGGTGTGACATTTGAACTACAGGGAGTGGGATCTGCAGTGTTCTCGTGATGTCATACACCTCCATAAAGGCAACGGCACTTTAGTGTTTTCGGTTCAAGGTACAGCTACTGATTACTTAAGACCTGAAGAAACGTTAGTTTCGATAGTTGCAATAGGCCCATAGAAAACAATGATTTGCATTTAAGGAGAGTGCAAACCCATCTCGAAAACACTATTTGCTTGATTGTGTCGACTTCGTGCAGGATGATATCCACGATAAAATTATTGACACGGAAGATGTCTTCCTGTTTGGTCTTGGCAGGATCGTGAGCAGCGGTCCTTATGATCATGATTTTCCTTCCGTCGGGGTCGTACTTGTTGTCGATCGGAAGGCACGTCCTGAAAAATAGGTGGCTAAATGTGAGCAAGGCAACGCAAGAGCATTTCGACGATTATCTGGAAAGAGAGCCCACCCGAGACGTAAAATAGCTAGGTTCGTTGGGTGCATCGGGTCCCCGTTCTCGAAGAATTCGGGCAACAAAGCTTTGATGGAGAAAAACATGTCCAGCTTTTCCTTAGTCCTTTCCAAGCTGAACTTGCATCCCCGCAGGAACATGAGGATCGTCTGATCATCTATTGTAACGACGACAGTTTGGGTGACTTTTCTGAACCAACACTCAATCTTTCTATTTAGACGGCTCTTTAACAGCCCAAGTATATAGCAATTTTGATAGAAAATAAATTTATCGGAATACCCTCACGGACACTTGGACATCCAATGTATATCCTCCTCGGACCTCCACTGGATGGCTAAATGTCTCTTCCAAGGATAATCCTTGGACATGTCCATTGGATGTTCGTTTTTTGGATCCATTTGAGATTCCCTACGGGAAAGCTATCGGATGACCATTGAGGGATGCAGCAATAGCAATAGTAAACCCCATCCCCGAGTAGGAATGGAGCAAAATTTGCATGCTAATTAAGATTCGTAGCACGGGAGAGGAGTACTTTCTGAGATTACTAAGATTCCGCCCACTCACGTTCCTGGGAAGAAATAGAAGAGAAGCGTTTAGGTGGAATGTCAGGTATTACTGAGATGTTATTCTCATCTTCCCGTCCTTACCTCTTAATCAAGAGACTGTTTCCCGTTGCCAAGGTCATCATGATCCACATGAGAATCGAATAGACTTCCGTGGCAAGGGGAACCACTCTCTCTCCAAGCAATATGCAAAAATTGCCGCGTGTCTTCTCGAGTTATGTTACGTTTCTCAACAAATGAACTAAAAATTGGAATGACTTCCTTCCTTCGGCTTGTAAATGGGAAATTAGCGAATAGAGAATGAGAGCTTCCGCAGAGGAATTCGTTAGCATTAGGGACCGTTCACAAACTACATAACGTGATTTTTGAACTTTTTTAACCTCCCTCCCCTCTCCCCTGTAACACTCCGTAACAAAAGCTTCGACCCCCAAAAAAATTACGTGACAAAATATGACCCCTCCCCCTTCATAATTTTTTAAAATAATAAGATAAATAAACAAGTAAAATGCATTTGAAAAAGAAACTCGTTTATTAAACACACATAACTAACACTCTGGATTACACACATTGAGAGATTATTAAAATGTTTTAAAAAAGGAAAGGAAAAGTTTTTACTTTCATTCGGTTCCTTCTTCAAGGAAATAATTTTCCTTTGTTTATGTTCATTTTGATTAATGGTGATCACTCATTTGAGATTTAAAAAAAAAGTAAAAGGAGACGGGGAAATGTAGGGTATAAAATGGTGGAAACAGAGATCGCGATGCAGAGAGAGGGAGAGAGAGAGACAAACAAGGGCATCGTCCAAAGGGTAACTGTGCCTTTTTGGCCTGTCTAAGCAGGTCCAGGCATGAAACTGCGACTTAGCGAGTTTTGCAACATGGGAGAGGGAAGTCAACAGACGTTCCCACGCTTCCAATGCCCACTCTACTGTTACTAAGGGTGGTGGGTGCGAGTGGGTAGTAAGGTTGGCTCTGTGTCGTGAGTGATTTTTTTACTAAACAATTACCCTTCAAATAAGAAATTCAGTCGATAATTTATTTCTTTAAGAAAAAAACCGGCTACGTCACATTCGTGCAACCCCCCCCCCCCCCCGTAACAAATCGTAACACTTTGTCTGATCCCTCCCCTCCCCCCTTTGCGTTACGTAGTTTGTGAACGGCACCTTAGGGAAATCAGGAGACATGCAGTATGACATACAGTTCATTGCCACCTCGCTTAAATTGTGGGAACTTCATGTTTATTGAATGAACTGGTAAACGTCAGGCCAGATGGAGGGCCTCAAAGGGACGTGGACTCCATCCAAGGACATCCATGGGTAGGCCCTGAGAGGATGTCCTTGGAAGTTCCTTTGCTGAACGTCTAATGGATGTCCAAAGATGGACTGACACATCATTTTCGTTCACAATGTCGAACTCTTTATGAAATAATGCACTGTTCAGAGGACAATATCACACTGTCCATATAATGATTGAAGTTACTGGATTTCGACCTTAGGTGAGACATTTGAATTTAAAAAATAGAACTATAGAAATCCAACGATCTGATGCTCGTAACGTCTTTCCGAAAAACCATAATTCAATAAAATGTAAATAATTAAGTGTTCGATGTAAGGAAATTCTGCTCAGATGAAGCTCAGAATGCATGAGAAGATATCGATTCATGGTGATGACGTCCTAAGTACAGTACATCCATAGGACGACGTTTCTGGACGTATACCCATCTCTGGACAACTGGACTGTCCACGGACGAGTTTTGGATCGCCCATGGCTACTTGGGAGGGAGCTATTGGCAAACCTTCAGATTGCTATATACTCCCGGGTCGAACATTATTTTAATTTGTATATTTTTTATGACCACAATCTTTTATCAACTAGATCTCTTGCAGACTATGAAAATATGTGATAAAGAAATAAAATAAATACTCAAGCCTTGTAGGTATTGTAATCTGCAATTTATTTGTAAATGTTTCTTTTTTTTTAACCTCCAGGATTTGGAAACCTGCAGTTAGGCCCCTCGGTTACTCAGCCGACGAATTGATTTCCTTCTCACCTCGAGGCACGCTTTGAAGATGAGGCTGTTTCTCCAGCCAGTGTCGAATGGCTTTGATGTCGTCTGCTCGGGTTTCCTTCCGTTCCTTCAGCTCTTTCTCTGCCTTCTCTTGGAGCCAGTCAGGAAGCGTGCACACATAGGTGTCCTCTCCATCACCAGACGGCATGCTGGAATATTCGTGCCTGTTGGTGGAAGTGTGAAGAGAGGAAAATACTTCTGTCTTGCTGTTCTACCGATGACGCAACGTTGTTGCCACTTGCTGGTTGCTAGACAGAGGATGCGATTACGTAAGTTGCGGAAGTGGGATGTTTGTATAGCATTGGCTGCGCTTTTCAAGATGCAATTGGGGGAAAGAGGGGCACGCCTTCAGAGATAAAGAAGACTTACGTGGGCAATGAAGTCGCTTCTCAGTAATACCTGGTGGAATAATGAAACAGGACTGGTTAGGCTGTTCCCCCGACCCAGGACCTAACTGCAGTCCGCGGGTTCAACTGATACGCGCTATCTTTCATGCTCAAGGCTCCATGGCAACCTGATATATCTACGTCACTACGATACATGATTTTTTTTATCTCCCTGGTGCACACAAGGCCGGATTCCCTGGAAGCTACATTAGTTTTGCTGGAGTGCCTCAGCGGAATCAAGTCGAGGCATTATCATACATGAAAGTTTGGTGTCTCTTCCGTCGCCGACTTATTCTCAAGGGGAACTCTTACTTTTACTAATGGTACCATCTGAAGGGCTTTTTTTCAAAGTTAATCCAGGGCACTTTTATTTTATTCGCCGATACCCAGAAAATTTTTCCTGGTTGAAACAGCAAGCTTTCCATCTGTAAATGTGAGCCACTTCCAGCAGGAACTGCAGCATTTCCAACCAGACTATTTGTAAATTGTTATGCTGTTTCTTGCTGGAATGAACCAACAGGAGACAGCCGGAAATTCATGTTGTATTCTGCCGGTTCTCAGCTTTTCCAATCCGAAAATGCCTACTTTTTGATTCCCCATTGGAACCAGTGACATTTCCTGAGCGGCAATACAGATGGCGGAAGAAAGTCCTTCGCAAACCAAGAAAAATCAGTAATATTTCTGGCCGGAACTTTTTGCCGGGTAGTGACGACCTTTATTAGCTCTCCTTACAGTGGCTTGTTGTTTGGAACTTACGATCAATATACAAAATTATGTTCTCACTTATATTCATGCATTTTTTACTACTTCAAGATGTGAAGTTGCATAATTCTGTTGAAATCCCTGTGGAGAGCAACCCCCATTGTCTTCATTATTCCTCTCTGTGTCCACAGGAACACACTTCCAAGTCTCGATGTTCATAGGCCATTCATTGCCAATGTCGTTTACTGTTTGATTCCGCTTCTACTCTGCCCTTAGAGCATCGTACCGAGAATATGCTATGGCCGGTTGCAAACTGACCAATAAGCCTGGATGTAGCATGACGGGGTTCGACGCATCCAGAAACATCGGATTGCCCGTCCCAGGTAGCCGACTTAACAATAGTCACCCTTGGAGCACAGTGACTATCGTGGTCCTGATTATCCTGGGCGACAACTGAGCCAGTATGGGCTACCCGGGCCGAACTCATCATGCTAGTTTTGGTTCGTCTTGCTCATCCTCAACAGAAGCCCCAGTAATATGGTTGGACCTGAGATACTACGGCCTTGCGTGCGCATCACTGGGGTCCATCCTCGCGATGTGGACGTGCGAACCTACATGTCAGTGGGGTCCCACTGGAACAGGTGGAGAATTTCAAGTACCTCGGGATCTGGTTCTCGAATGACGGACGACATGGAAAAGAGATCGACAGGTGCATCTCCAAGGCTTCTGGAGTTCTGCGGGAACTTTGGCGAACCGTGGTTGCCAGATCGGAAGTGTCTAGGGAAGCGAAACTCTCATTTTTTTCAGTGTTTATATCCCCCCACCCTCACCCATGATCAGTAGCGTGCCTAGGAAATCCGAATGGGGGGCTTGACATATGAAACACTGATTATCCACCCTAATGAGGAGGTGGGGGGGGTGTTACCATATGAAAAAAAACTGATAACCCATCCTGTTTTGTGGCCGAATTAAAAAATTTGTGAGAATCGAACCTGCAAAATTGAACCCAAGGTTATGACCACCAAACCCCCCCCCCTTGGGCACGCCACTGCCTATGATCGTGAACTTTGGGTAATGATTGAAAGAACCAGATCGCGGATACAAGCTGCCAAAATGAGGCTCTTGCGTCGGGTGGTTGGCGTGGTGCGCCGTGATCGTAAGCGAAACTTCGTTATCCGCGAGAACATCTATGTCGAGCAGCTGCTTCTCGGGATCCAGAGGTCTCATGTCAGGTGGTTTGGACATATCTGCCGCATTCCCTCTGAGAGACTTCTAAGAGGAGTCTTCTTTGCCAAGATGACCGGCAAAAGACCTGTCGATAGACCTCGTACAAGGAGGAGCGATTACGTCTCTCGGCTCTGTCACAAGAGGCTCAACATTCCACCAGCTGAGCTTGAGTCCGCTGCCCAGGATCGATGTCATTGGAGGACGCTCCTGGGTATACTCGAACCGCGACCCCATTAAGTTGGGGTAGGCGGTATCGAAAATGTTCTATGTATGTATGTATCAGGGTGTCCCATATGTTTTTTGGGTTTTCCATTTTTCTACATATTCTTATCCTCACTGTGGTTGTTAGTTGTACTTAGTAGTTATATCAGCGGTAGCACAAGGTGGTGCAGAGAGGTAGAAGGTACGTCTCTTACTTAGGGTAGTACCATCTTGACGCGGAGAAACCTCCGCTTCTTGTGCGCCAAGTCATCATAGATCTCCTGATTGTTTTTGTAGTGTTTTCCCTCAAGGAAGTGCTGCATGGAACGGAACAAGCAATAATCCGTAGGAGAAATGTCCGGACTGTAAGGCGGGTGGGGCAGCATCTCCCAACCCAGACTCTCCAGCTGCTCCTTCGTCTTCTTCGCCACATGGGGGCGGGCATTGTCGTGAAGGAGGTACACTTTGTCTCGTGTCCGGCCCAGCTTAATGCGTGCGTCCCTCACTTTCTGCAGCAGCTTACAGTAGTACTCTGCCGTAATGGTGGTATTGGCAGGAAGCAGCTCGTAGTAGAGGATGCCAAGAGAATCCCAGAATACCGTGACCATCACTTTCTTGGGGTGAAGGTCGGGTTTGGGGACACGCGACGGCTTCTGGGAGGGGTCGAGCCACTCGTGGGGGAGCGTAACATTTTCATAGTCAACCCACTTCTCATCCGACGTAATGATGTCATCCAGCCAGTCGTCGCGGCGGCTACGGAGGAGAAGAGAGTTGCACACGCCCACCCGCGCATTCCGGTTCTCATCAGTCAGAGTATGGGGTATCCATCTTCCCGCCTTACAAACTTTCCCAAGAGAGATGAGCTGTCGGTGGATGCTGCTATGAGAGCAACCAAGTACCCTCGCCAAGTATCTGGTGGAAACACTTGGGTCATCCTCTATCAGGCTGCGTAGCTGGTCCAAATCCACCTCAGTTGGTCTTCCTGACTTCTCCTTATCTTCGAGACTGACGTCCCCAGACCTGAAACGCTTGAACCAGTTCGAGCACGTCTGCTCAGTCATCACCTCGTGCCCTTCTGCTTTGCATATATTCCGGTGAGCTTCAGCGGGAGAGTGGTCCAAACGAAACTCATGAAGCAAAGCATGGCGGACATGAACCTTGTCAAAACTCATGCTAGGAGTAGTACAGCACACAAAGCTCACAGTGGAGTAACTGGAAGAAAGCACAACACTTACCCTAATAACAGGAGGAATTTCAAACAGATGAAGATCTCGATTTTGTTGTCAAGACGAACTTCCACAGTAGAACCAATGCACATGGCAACAACACAACTTTGCGAAAAATGAGCGCAGAATTAGAATGGTTTCAAAATAATCCAAAAAACATATGGGACACCCTGATATGAGTCCACAAGAATCTTTCAAAGTCATGCAAGCAACAAAATCTTGATGTGTGAGAATCGTCTGGCAACAAGGTTCCCAGAACAGTCTCAGTCTAGAAGGATTTCCCATTCTGGAAGCTGGCTGTTGCAGCCAAGTTTCTGAGAGGTGAATTCTAAGGCCCTGTCTTACTCGCCCCCATCGCGATGGGGGGTGAGTAAAACAGTGAGATGGTGACAGTGAGGATAGGAGAGTACTTACACTATTGGGGCCATTTACAAAGGGCTTCTCTCAAGGTTAATCCAGGGCATTCTTCTTTCGTCTCCAGACGGCGACAACCTCTTATTAGCTCTCTCTTAACAACGACGACTTTTTGCGTTGATCCTTCGAGAAATATGCAGAATGGAGTTCTGAAAAAAAAATTTTTCGCAACTTCACTTTTGAATAACAAAGTAAGAGTGCTCTCTGTCCTGTCAAAGAAAGATTTTCTACTGGAGCGATCGGTGGCCTATGGGAGATGCTCAACTATCAAGCACTCTTTATGGGCCCTTGGAATGATTGCGTTGAAGCGAAGAAATGACGTCGATAATGCTGATACTGTACATCATTGGATTAAGGTTCGATCACGGGTACGCCCTACAAAATGCATGATTCAGTGAAACCCATTTGCCTTCGAATACGTCGACTTAGTATTGCTTCAAAGCTGAGCACTCGACAATGGCGTAAAACTTGTCGACTGACAAGAAAGGACCCTATGCCGTTCGGCGAGTCATCCCTGTATATAGCTGATGCTATTATCTTGAAAGTTTATATATATTTTTTTAAATAAATACCGATGGGAAAATTTTTTTTTTTACTGGGTTCCTCTGTTTTATTTCGACAAAGTTGTGTTGTTGCCATGTGCATTGGTTCTACTGTGGAAGTTCGTCTTGACAACAAAATCGAGATCTTCATCGGAGGAAGGAATTGGGCAGCTTCAGTGAATGTTGTTCTAGCTTGATTGTTCAGAGATATCAGCAGAGGCGACGTTCCCGAAGAAAACTAGCAAGCGTAATGTGGCGAGATGCACGACATGTTTCAAGTGGAGCAGATGCGGATGTGATCATGACGGGATTCCCACCGCAGAGAAACTTAGTCGTAGGAGTGGTCAAAGCAGGGTTGGATGTCGTGATGGCAAGAATCAGGCGGAAAGCAAACGTCCGAAACGAGAATCATCTACATATCAACTAGGTACGTATAGAGAAGAGCCGCAAATTCTGCATGGTGCTTATGCAGCTGACGCTGGGAGGAATCTGAAGCAGCAGAAGTAGCATATTTTGGCTGAAAGAGGGGGCATTGCAGCGAAGCGGGGACACCTAACCCCACCTGAGCGATATCAGATGGGAAAAGTATTACCTCCAAGGGGGCGCCAAGCTCTGTCCCAGGGGCTCCAGGGGGGGAGGGCGGCTGCCTCTCCATCCTGGCGCCCTGGTCATCATCATTCATCATCATAAGCTCATCTAAACACCAGATCTAGGAAATATGAGTGGTGGTAGAAGCTCATAAACCGTAGAAATAAAAAATTAAAAAATCTGATATGATGATAGGATAGAAAGAACGACGTTTATTGGCTATCACAGTTTGCGCATGACCTATGAGTATGACCAAATGTATGGATTCTGACGAATGACCATCACCCAAACCATCCCAACTTTGTGACTTCTCCACGCAGCACCTAGGTCTCAATTTAAAAATAGACTACAGAAATAGGCATTTCAGACAAACCCCTACCATCCTTCCCCCTTAATACAACAAGCATATATTTCCGGATGTGATGTGACCCATCTAGCAAATCAGTCTCTTTTTTTTCACTGAGTCAGAGAACGCTTGTTAAAGAAAGAGGGTATCACCATTCGCCCATCAATCGTTTAGTTAACTCTCTGGCACAAAATAACCCAGCCAAATTACTGTGAATTTTTATTTTAATGTCAGCGGTATAAACTTCATCATGGCGAACTGTACTGACACAAGAGTGCATGGCTGTTACTCCGACTGAGTCAAAGAGGCACTTCAAAGTGAGTTGTTACGAGAAGTCAGTGCTCGCATGAGGTTCAAGGTTCAAGGTTGTTTAGTGGTATCAAGAGGCGATAACACCCATTTGGATACCACGTGTCGAGGTCGAGCATTCCTTAATTTTAGGGTAGGCCTAATCCTCTTAAAGCTAAATATTTTTGCGAGTTTTGTGGGTTTATTATTTTTGTTATTTGTTTTAGCATATCCTAGTTGCTTACTGCCTAATCCCTTAAGTCAATACATTGCCCCCCTTCTTGCTCGTCCATAAAAGCACGAATAACCATGAACTACGTGACGAAAAAATTAGGTAAGTTATGTACTCTTCTGCCAAAGCTCGATTCATGTGGGGGAGAAGGGGAAAATTTCCCACAGCAAAATTCACCATATGGAGCAAGTGGCCCAGGGCGAGTGGGACCCCCATCATCATTTGTCATCAAATGGTCGTGAGTGAGTGGCTGACTGACTGACGCTGATTCTAACCATTTCCTATATCGCATAGAAAGCTGAAAGTTGGGATGTAATTAGCTGCTGTGGTGCCGGTTCAGCAAAAATAAGAATTTAAAAAGGAAACAACCCCTGGGGGTAAGATTTTTTTGGGGTGACATTTTTCTCGAAACTTCTTTGCTCGAACAAAACGTCAATACGTGACGTCACATTGACAGGAAGCTGAAATCTGGTACACTTGTAGTTAACTGGTAGCTGATTTGAGGAAAATTCCTACATCTGTGCACCATGAGGTTTTTATCACTTCAGATGGTGCAATCACCATCACACGTTTCAGATGAATTAATCTATTCATTTCCACCTTCGAGCAACTCCGAAGATACGGCCATTGTAAGTCTTTTTGCATGCTAAGCAAACATACACGTTACTTTGTAGGCAGTGGTGGATAATGAAGGGTATGGCAAAAAAAAAACTCACAGCATTCGTCCAAAATCATCGCTGCTCTTTCTGGTGCCATTCTTACATAACCTGCACCTTGAATATGGCGCTTTGTACCCATGATACATGCAGAATTTTGTCAAAATAAATTATGCCAAAGCAAGCTCATGAGCAGTTATTGAAAACAAATGAGTATTGAAAATGGAAATGAGCAGAGCACTCGAGATTATTTAGAGTTTACATTTGTTTTCAAATGTTTGAAAAAAACATGTTTAACATGTTTTTAAAAAAAATAAAACAAACAATGTTTTAAAAAATGTTTTCTACAACTTTCTACTCCAGGGACGCAAAATAAGCAAGAAGTCATGTGCGTCTCTGAAAAAATTGTAGCGGAAATTTCACAATTTCAATTCCTGTCACCTGACTGGAATAGGATACATCTGAAAGTTCATCAGCATGTCAAAACCTATTCTGCTGACTTGTGTTGCACAACTTCTACTATTTAAACAGTACCTTCCAGAGCAAGACAAAAATTTGTAGCAAAAGCTCAAGAATAGTGGTTATGATTTAGTGAACCTAAAATTCAACTGGGCCCCTTCTGCAGGGACGTTTATGAGGGGGTTGCTGATTTGAGGAAAATTCCAACTTGCCCTGAATTGTTGGAACACGCTGACACCCCTGACCAGTTTTTGAAGCAAAAGTATATATGCAAGATTGTAAGCCTAAATATGTTGATGTTTAACTTATACATTGTAAAGTGGGCGGGGATTTGTATTCAAAGTGATGACAGTTCGTTCATAATCGAAGCGTCTACTCGCAACGTACTATTGTAAAAATTAGGGCTGTGCTAATATATCGGAAAACACTAACATCAGTCGCTGAAAGTTGCTACATACTATAGGCAGGGTTACAAGTAGCCGATGCCAGTGTTCAAAGGAGGAGCCAAGCGGGGAAAAAATTCCTGGAGAGTGGGTTAGGCACCAGACCTGTTTAACTGAAAGAACAACTGCCTGTCTCTTCCAAACAAAAATATATCGGATTATATTCCAGCCCGATTGTAGGAACAGTCGGAGGATAACACAGGTAAAAATACGGGAAATCAAAGCACCTCCTTTTATTTTATGCTTCTGCGGAAGATGGGTCATTAAACGCTCTTGTAGGAAAAAGGTTACAAGCTAACCAAGGACGACGGACAAATAGGCAGATAGAGGCTGAACAGAATTAAAAGCGGTTTCTAAAATTTTAAGAAAGGGGTCCACTGACAGAATGGAACATGGCTTCGAAATAAACTAGTTGGAAGTATTAGGCGATTTCATGTTACTTTCTTCTCGATCTGCAGATTAAAATCGGCCGTCGGCCCACCGGCGAAACATGGCCATCGGTGCAGCCCTAGTAAAAAGTGGGGGCCCACTTTATCCATGCCACTCTATTCAACTGTGTATCCATGAGAATCTTGGGATATCATGCAGGCAACAAAACTTGAGGTGTGAGAATTGCACGGCTGGAATTCCTGCAACAATATTCTCAGTAGAACAGTTTCAGTCTAGGTTTTCAGAATTCCTTAGATAACGATTGAAGCCAGGTTGCTTTCAAATGAATTCTAAGACACTGCCCTAAGCGCCCTCATTGCGATAGGGGTGAGTAAGGCAGTTAAATCATAATAGAGCAGGGGTGCACAACTCAAAATACTATGAGGGCCATTTCCGATTTTTACTCACTTGCCGCTGGCCGCAGTCTGGCTGACCATAGCTGTAGCAACAGGGCGGGAGCCTTAGTAGTACTAACAACGTCACTGGTCACGGCGGGCCACAAGTAAGGGTCTTCCGGGTCGTATGTGGCCCGCGGGCCATATGTTGTGCATCCCTGTAATGGAGCGAGGATGCATTCCATTGTCGTACACAGAAATTGTGCTTGAGCACTGATCACTTAATATTTTACTCCCATACATGATGGGTGCAAATTCAATTGACACGATTAGCAAAAGAGCATGCGGAATGTGAATGTATATGCATATTCACTTGCGACATTACTTCCTATATCAAACGTCGCAATAGAAAGAGAAGTGAAAAGCGTGTAAAGTCTCAAATCTGCTAACTGCTATATGCAATCCTTTATATCCAAATCAATCCACGTTGAGCTTCCTGAACGATCCCTCGATGCCAAAGACATCCTCGAAGCTCTTGCCTTTCCCGGGACGGAGTTTCTCGTTGGACTTCTGCTTTGCCCTCTCCATGATCACTTCACGATGGCTCAGGACCTTCTTCATCCAGTAATCTATATACATTGCATTCCCGAGGCAATATAATTGATGTTGTTATGAGGAAGATATCGGGCAGGTTCGTGACACTTCGAATGCGAACTGACCAGCCATGTCTTTGTAGTTTCCATATGTTCCATCCAGCTCTTCGGGCAGAAGATCTGGCGGAACGTTCTGGTGCAAGGATTCCAATCTACTCCCGTGAATGCTGAGCTGAGTGGCCAAAATAAAATTTAACGTTTTTGCTTTCAATCAGTAATGGACTGCGATCCCTCCCCTACCCTCGTTCTTACCCTTTGTTTCATCTTCTCCTTCATGAAACCACGGACGATGTTGAAGACAGTCTCGAAAAAAGGAGGAGTGTGGATGTAATTGAACCCCTTCGGCCTTGTCGGGTATCCGTCCTGTTGAAAAATCATAATCATGTTTTCTTCATTGCGACCTAGATGGGTCAGGAAAGGGATAAGATAGAAAGCCATTCCCGATCTACCTGCCAGACCGTCATGGCCTTTTTGGCCAGAGTTGGGCTGATTGCCATGCCGTGTGCCCACGTCATTCCGGCCATGTCTATCACCCCAATGAAGCCGCAAATTTGAGTCTGCTCGTCCTGGAATAATCGTCGAGAAGTGTCAGATTTGAACTGCAAAGAACGGGATCTACAGAGTTTTCGTGATGTCATACACCTCCATTATTGCACTGACACTGGTGTTTTTGACTCAAGGTACAGCTACCGAATACTTAAGACCGTAGGAAACGTTAGTTTCGCTGGTGGCGGTAGGCCCATAGAAACATCAATTTGCATTAAGGGAGAGTGTAAGCCCATCTGGAAAACACTATTTTGAGGATCTATCTGTGTCGACTTCGTGCAGGATGATATCCATGATGAAGCAATTCACACGGAATATGTTTTCCTGCTTGATCTTGTCAGGATCGTGAACAGCCGGCCTCATGATTATGATTTTCCTTCCTTCAGCGTCGTACTTGCCTTCTACTGGAAGGCACGCTCTGAGAAACAGATGGCTAAACGTGAGCAGGTAGCGTGCGATTATTTCGACTATCACTGGAAAAGAGAGCCAACCCAAGGCGTAAAATGGTCAGGTTCGTCGGATGCATCGGGTCCCCGTTCTCGAAGAATTCGGGCAGCAGAGTTTTGATGGAGAAAAACATGTCCAGCTTTTCCTTAGTCCTTTCCAAGCTGAACTTGCATCCCCGCAGGAACATGAGGATCGTCTGATCATCTATTGTAACGACCACAGTTTGGGTGACTTTTCAGAACCAGCACTCAATCTTTCTACTGAATATTTAGACGGCTTTTTAACAGAGGGAGCTATTAGCAAACCTTCACATTGCTATTCTGTATACTCCCGGGTCGAACATTATTTTAATTTGTGTATTTTTTATGACCACGATCTTTTATCAACTGGATCTCTTGCAGACTATGAAAATATGTGATAAAGAATTAAAATAAATACTCAGACTTTTTAGGTATTGCAATCTGCAATTTATTTGTAAACCTGTTTTTTAACCCCCAGGATTTGGAAACCTGCAGTTAAGCCCCTCGGTTACTCAGCCGACGAATTGATTTCCTTCTCACCTCGAGGCACGCTTTGAAGATGAGGCTGTTTCTCCAGCCAGTGTCGAATGGCTTTGATGTCGTCTGCTCGAGTTTCCTTCCGTTCCTTCAGCTCTTTTTCTGCCTTCTCTTGGAGCCAGTCGGGAAGGGTGCACACGTAGGTGTCCTCTCCATCTCCAGGCATGCTGGAATATTCCCGCTTGTTGGTGGAAAGTGTGAAGAGAGGAAAATACTTCTCTGTCTTTCTGTTCTACCGATTTCGGAACGTCCCCCGAAACTTGCCGATTGCTAGACGGAGGATGCGATTACGTAAGTTGCGGAAGTGGGATGTTTGCATAGCATTGGCTGCGCTTTTCAAAATGCAATTGGGGGAGGAAGGGCGTGCCGACGGAGATACAGAAGACTTACGTGGGCAATGAAGTCGCTTCTCAGCAAAACCTGATGGAATAAAGAAACAAGATGGATTCAGCTAATACCCTGCACCAGGGACCTAACTGCAGTCCGCAGGTTCAACTGATACGCACTATCTTTCACGTGCAAGGATCCATGTCAACCTGATATATCTGAACCACTATGATAAGCAATTTTTTTTCCTCACTAGGTACACATGAGGGCGGTATCCCAACTGAAAAGCACGCTATTTTAATTATGCACGCGTGTCTTAGTGGAAACCAGTTCAGGCATGATCATATATGAAAGTTTGATATCATTATCTCTTTTGTCGCTGACGCATTCTCTAGGGAAACTATTACATTGGCCATGTAGCCATCATAAGGCCTTTTTTCAATGTCAATCCAAAGCGCTCTACTCTTGTTTGCCGACAATGACGATCTATTATTAGCTCTCCTTACAATGGCTTGCTGTTTGGAGATTGTAAGTAATTTACATATGATGTTCTGACGACTTTTAACGCAAAATTTGCAATTTAACATTGAAGTGACGTATAATTCTGTTATAACCTCTGTAGAGAGCGACTCTCCCCCAGTATCTTCAGTTTTTCACTGTGAGTTCACAAGAATCTTCCGATGTCATGCAACCAACAAAATCTCGAGTTATGATAATCGCCTGACTGTAATGCCCGCAACGAGTTTCCCAGTAGAGCAGTCTCAGTCCAGAAGGATTTCTTAATTCGTAAGTTGGCTTTTGGCTCCATTTCGTTGAGGGGTGATCTCTAAGGCCCTAGGGCCTTAGAGTAAGACAGCTGTCTTACTCGCCCCAATCGCGATAGGGGGTGAGTAATGCAGAGAAATGGTCACAGAGTGAGGATAGGAGCAGAACTGGTGCTCATACTAAATGGGGCTATGCCAAGGGCTTCGTTCAAGGTTAATCCTGAGCACTCTTCTTCCTTCTGCTGACCGCAACTGTCTTATTTATTCACTCTCTTTATGAGGACTTGTTGTTTATATCCTGTAAGAAATATGTAGAATGGTGTTCATAATTTTTTTCTTGAAATTTCACTTTCGAATCAGTCGAAGTGAAAGTGCTCTCCGTCCTGTCCAAGGACGAACCGCTAATTGAGTATCGGTAACGTACCAGGACGTTCAACTATCTTGCCCAATCGTAGGAACCAGTGGAGGAAAACATCAGAAAGAATCGAAATCAAAGCACCTATTTTTTATGTTATGCTTTTGCGAGAGTTGGATCGTTAAACATTCTCAACAGCAGCAATAGGTAACAACCCATCCGCTGACGGACACTTGGGCAGATGGGCAGACAGATAGGCTGGACTGGATTAGAAACGGTTTCTATGGTTTTAAGGAGAAGGCCCGCTGATAGGAATATATCAATAACATGGCTACCAAATAAACCTACTTGAAGTAGTATTTTTTAAATTGATATTTTCTTCTCAATCTGCAGACCTCAATCAGCTTCAAAACCTGCACCAACACAGGCCGATGAGTACGAGATCAAAATCGGCCATCGGCCTACAAGCCAAAGGTGACCATCGGTAGAGCCCTAATAAAAATTGGGTCACTTTCTCCAGGCAACTCTATTCCATGGGGAGTCCATGAGAATCTTGCGAAGTCATGCTGGCAAAAAAATTTGAGGCGTCAGAATCGCATGGCTGAATTGCCAGTAACTAGTTTCCCAGTAGAGCAGTCTCAGTCGAGAAGGTCTTCCGAAATCATAAACTGGATTTTGGGGTCAGTTTACCGAGGGTTGAATACAAAGGCACTTGCAACTTGCCCCATTGCGATTGGAGTGGGTTGGGCAGTTAAATAATAAGAGAGTGGGGATGAGCTCTATTGTCATACTCAGCGTACACTTCAAACATTTATCAATAAATGTTTTCGTCTCATGCATAACAATCATTAAGTTCCATTAAAACAATCCACAAAAGAACATGGGGAACTGTGCATGTTTATCCATATTCAATTGTGACATTACTTCCAATATCGAAGGTAACAACACCAGAGTGAAGTGATCGGCGAGAAAGGTCTCGTATTTGCTGAATGCTAGAAAATGCAGTCAATTATATGAATTTCAATCCACGTTGAGCTTCCTGAACGATCCCTCGATGCCAAAGACATCCTCGACGCTCTTGGCTTTCCCGGGACGGAGTTTCTCGTTTGACTTCTGCTTTGCTCTCTCCATGATCACTTCACGATTGCTCAGGACCTTCTTCATCCAGTAATCTACAGTATATACGTACACCGCGAATCCGGGAGGAATAAAATTAATGTTACATATCGGGATGAATGAAGGTCGTGACAACTCGAACGCCTACTGACCAGCCATGTCGTTGTAGTTTCCATATGTTCCACCCAGCTCTTCGGGCAGAAGATCTGGTGGAACGTTCTGGTGCAAAGATTCCAATCTACTCCCGTGAATGCTGAGCTGCCATGCCAGAAAATAAAAATACAACGTTTTCACTTTCAGTCAGTAATGGACGTCATCTCCCTACCCTCCTTCTTACCCTTCGTTTCATCTTCTCCTTCATGAAACCACGGAAGATGTTGAAAATGGTCTCGAAATAGGAAGGGGTGTGGATGTAATTGAATCCCTTTGGCCTCGTTGGATATCCATCCTGTTGAAAAATCAGTCAAGTCTTCGTTGCGGCCTGGATGGGAATGTCTGCATAATTTAGAAAGCAGTTTAGTCTCTACCTGCCAGGCTGTCATGGACTTTTTTGCCAAAGTTGGGCTGATTGCCATGCCGTGTGCCCACGTCATTCCAGCCATGTCCATTACCCCGATGAAGCCGCAGATTTGTGTCTGCTCGTCCTGAAATAATCGTCGAGAGGTGTGAGATTGGAATTGCACAGAACGGGAACTACAGTCTTTTCCCGATGAAGTCGCACATCTCCATAAAGACACTCGCGTTATTGGTGTTTTTGACTCTAGGGACATTTACTGAATGCTAGTACACTTTATAGGTAAGACCGGAGGTGTTACAAATAGGCAGGTAGATGGTTGGTTTGCATTTAAGGAGTTTGTGAATCCATCGCGAAAACACTATTTTGAGGATCTATCTGTGTCGACTTCGTGCAGGATGATATCCATGATGAAGCAATTGACACGGAATATGTTTTCCTGCTTGAACTTGTCAGGATCGTGAACAGCCACCCTCATGATTATGATTTTCCTTCCTTCGGCATCGTACTTGCCCTCGATCGGAAGGCATGTCCTAAAAAAAAAAAACAGATAGCTAAATTTGAGCACAGCAACGCAAGAGTATATAGACAATCATTGGTGAAGAGAGCCAACCCAAGGCGTAAAATAGCCCGGTTCGTCGGATGCATCGGGTCCCCGTTCTCGAAGAATTCGGGCAACAGAGTTTTGATGGAGAAAAACATGTCCAGCTTTTCCTTAGTCCTCTCCAAGCTGAACTTGCATCCCCGCAGGAACATGAGAATCGTCTGATCGTCTATGTAAGGACCATAGCTCAGTGACTATTCTGGGTCAGCACTCAAGCATTCCGCTTACACGGCTTTTTAACAGAGGTGCGTATCTGCAAACCTTCGCTTTTTAAGACTTGCAAACCAGTATTATAATAACTTTTTGCTTTTAGATCACCGGGATCTATTATCAGGTGGATCTCTTTTGCAGACTATGGAAATGTGACATAAAAAAGTATTTGAAAAATATACTCAGGCCTTGTACCCTAGTAACGCATAACATTGAATCAACATTGATTCAACGTTTGTTCAACGTCTGGATGTTGAATCAATGTTGTTTCGATTTTAGGTGCTACTAAGGTAGATACTGTATTGCAAACTGCAATTACTTATTTTAAATTTCCCCAGGATTCAGACTCTTGCAGATTGCTTTCTTAGCCACTCATCGGACGAATTGATTTCCTTCTCACCTCGAGGCACGCTTTGAAGATGAGGCTGTTTCTCTAGCCAATGTCGGATGGCTTTGATGTCGTCTGCTCGGGTTTCCTTCCGTTCCTTCAACTCCTTTTCTGCCTTCTCTTGGAGCCAGTCAGGAAGCGTGCACACGTAGGTGTCCTCTCCATCTCCAGGCATGCTGGAATATTCCTGCCTGTCGGTGGAAAGCGAGAAAAGAGAAAAAATATTTTCTGTCTTTCACTCATGCCAATGTCAGTTCGCTTGAACATCTGGGCCCTGCGGTTGCAAGGCAAATGACAGGAATACGCACTTGGGGACGTGGGATGTTGGTGTAACTTTCACTGCGTGTTTCTAAATGGAAATGGCATAATAATCACGCGGCCAATGAAGTCACTTGTCAGGAACACCTGGCGAAACAAAGTCCTCAGACAGACTAGGCTGATATCCCGGACCTTGGACCTAGCTGCACTCCGCCAGTTCAACTGATAACGCGGTATATTTCACGTGGAAGGCACCATGGCAACCTGATATATCTCAGTCATGATAATAAACTTTTATTTTTCGTACTGTCTCACGTGGGCGGGATTCCCGCTAAAAAATACTCTCCTTCGAAGAGACGGACAAAGGTCTAGATTAAGTCGATGGGAGGACTGTCCAGCACCTGCGGCACAAGATCCAACACCCATTCGGCACAACAACTTTGTGTCAACGTTGAAAAAAGGTTGATGGCAATGTTGCCTCAATGTTGAGAAAAGGTTGACTTTTCAACGATTGTACAACGGTACTACAACGGTGTTACAACTTTACTTCGTGTCGAATTGCAACTTTTCAACTACCTGTGCGACGTTGTGTCAACGTTGAATTCTCAACGTAAGGGCATTATAGTACCTCCTCCCTATTCCAGGGTCTAAATGAGCTTTGATTGTCGGATGAAATTGAATATGGACTCGATAACTCCATAAATGGTTCCCAAGAGGTATGATACTAGCAGTACTCTACAGAGTACAATCATCCCACCTGAAGGACCCTCAGAGTTTTATCTCCTCTTCTGAATGAGAATTCACATTAAGTACTTGCGTGATTCAAGTACCTCTCGGTCCAGTAGAGGAAAACAACCTCGTGGGCATGGTTTATATACTCTATCCATCATGGATGAGTCTGAGTAAGGGCGCGTGCCATGTGGAGATTTAGGAAAATTGAGCGTGTCTTCTCGGACCCACTAGCCAGAAGTATTAATACTTTGAGTCTCCTCCTGCCTGATTACCTCCTTAAACATGTCTATCTAG